TTGGGGAATGCTGGTTCTTGGTTAAGGCGCTTGCAAATATATGCAGGGAGACACAAAGTGACAAATAATGGTGCAGACTGTTTTGGCAGGAAAATAGGACTCACAACAGTGGTATATGAGGTAGCACTCACATGTTATGGAACTTATACTAGCTCTAAGTAATATTGCTTGCAGCGGTACAATCCCCACTGGTGGATATAACTTATGTGGTGAATATCTTGACATGCAGGTAGATATATGAAAGAAAAAGAAAATATCCAATAGTGCTCACTGTAAACATAAATATGTATTACTTTACTGAGAGGTTAGTGGATGAATGGAATAGCCTTCCAGTTGAAGTGGTAGAGGTTAATACAGTGCAAGAGTTTAAGCATGCGTGGGATAGACATAAGGCTATCTTAGATATAAGAGACTAATGAAAATATTTTAGAAAATTGGGCAGACTAGATGGGCCAAATGGTTCTTATCTGCCGTCACATTCTATGTTTTTATGATGCAGTACAAAATGTATTATATTTACATTTCAACGAGCGTTAAGTCGCTCAGATATCAGCACATGGGTGGTATAATCCCCACCATGGATATGTTGGTAAATAGTTGTCCAACTGTTTTTGTATGAACAATTCCATTGTCTGCTGCCTCTGGCACCTCTTAAGCATCCCTTGGAAAGGGGACATGATGTCGGTGTTAAAACTGTTCACAAGTCTCTGGGCTAGAGCCTTATCTGGCTGGTGCTGCTGTACAAAAGTCTGTAGATTCACCCACATTTGGCATGCCTCCTTGAGTTCCCTGGAAGAGAGCTGTTCCTCACTCATTTCCTCCTCCTCAAATGAGATTTGCTCCTCCATCGCCTCCTTCTGCAGTTCCACCAGGACCTCAGTGGTTAGCTCACAGTCATGTCCCTCCACCAGCTCACAAACATCCTCCTCACTCACCTTCAGCCCCATGGTCCTCCCCAATGAAACAATATCCTCCAACACTGTTGACTCTGGTGCAGGTGCAGAAGCATCGGAGGCAGGTGTCACAAACAGTCTGGCCACAGGTTGCTCCAAGCAGAATCTAGGTTTCTCTGGCTGACCCCGGCCCAGACAATGGTTATAATCTGCAGACAGCTCACGATGTCAAAATGGTCTCTCCAAAATTCACAGAGGGTGAGGCTTGATTGATCTGTCATCTCAAAGCATCGCTGGAAAAGCTCCCATGTGTAGAGTTGTTTAAAATTGGAGATGACCTGCTGGTCCATTACATAGAAACATAGAAACATAGAAACATAGAATGTGACGGCAGATAAGAACCATTCGGCCCATCTAGTCTGCCCAATTTTCTAAAACTTTCATTAGTCCCTAGCCTTATCTTATAGTTAGGATAGCCTTATGCCTATCCCATGCATGCTTAAACTCCTTTACTGTGTTAACCTCTACCACTTCAGCTGGAAGGCTATTCCATGCATCCACTACCCTCTCAGTAAAGTAATACTTCCTGATATTATTTTTAAACCTTTGTCCCTCTAATTTAAGACTATGTCCTCTTGTTGTGGTAGTTTCTCTTCTTTTAAATATAGTCTCCTCCTTTACTGTGTTGATTCCCTTTATATATTTAAATGTTTCTATCATATCCCCCCTGTCTCGTCTTTCCTCCAAGCTATACATGTTAAGATCCTTTAACCTTTCCTGGTAAGTTTTATCCCACAATCCATGAACCAGTTTAGTAGCCCTTCTCTGAACCCTCTCTAAGGTATCAATATCCTTCTGAAGATACGGTCTCCAGTACTGTGTACAATACTCCCAAGTGAGGTCTCACCAGTGTTCTGTACAATGGCATGAGCACTTCCCTCTTTCTACTGCTAATACCTCTCCCTATACAACCAAACATTCTGCTAGCATTTCCTGCTGCTCTATTACATTGTCAGCCTACCTTTAAGTCATCAGAAATAATCACCCCTAAATCCCTTTCCTCATATGTTGAGGTTAAGACTCTATCAAATATTCTGTACTCTGCCCTTGGGTTTTTACGTCCAAGATGCATTATCTTGCACTTATCCACATTAAATGTCAGCTGCCACAATTCTGACCATTTTTCTAGTTTACCTAAATCATTTGTCATTTGGCTTATCCCTCCTGGAACATCAACCCTGTTACATATCTTAGTATCATCAGCAAAAGACATACCTTACCATCAAGACCTTCTGCAATATCACTAATAAAAATATTAAAGAGAATGGGTCAAGTACAGATCCCTGAGGTACCCCACTAGTGACAAGTCCAAGCTTCGAATATATTCCATTAACTACAACCCTCTGTTGCCTGTCACTCAGCCACTGCCTTACCCATTCAACAATATTGGAATCCAAACTTAGATTGCAGTTTATTGATAAGCCTTCTATGTGCAACAGTGTCAAAAGCCTTACTGAAATCTAGGTAAGCAATGTCTACTGTACCACCCTGATCTATAATTTAGTTACCCAATCAAAAAAATCAATAAGATTAGTTTGGCATGATCTCCCTGAAGTAAACCCATGTTGTCTCTGATCTTGAAATCCATGTGTTTTTAGATGTTCATCAATCCTATCCTTTAACATGGTTTCCATCACTTTCCCCACTACTGAAGTAAGGCTTACTGGCCTATAGTTGCCCGACTCCTCCCTATTACCCTTCTTGTAAATGGGCACAACATTCGCTAACTTCCAATCTTCTGGGACTACTCCTGTTAATAATGATTGGTTAAATAAATCTGTTAATGGTTTTGCTAGTACACCACTAAGCTCTTTTAATAGCTTTGGGTGTATTCCATCAGGTCCCATTGACTTATTTGTCTTTACTTTTGACAGTTGAAATAGAACCTTTTCCTCTGTAAACTCACGTGTAATAAATGACTCATTTATCCTTTTCTCAACTGAGGTCCCTTTCCTTCATTTTCATCTGTAAATACAGAACAAAAATATTAATTGAGGCAGTCAGCTAGACCTTTATCCTCTTCTACATACCTTCCTTCTTTTGGTTTTAATCTAACTAATCCTTGTTTTACTTTTCTTTTCTCATTTATGTATCTAAAAAATGTTTTATCCCCTTTTTTACTGACTGTGCTATTTTCTCTTCTGTGTGTGATTTGGAAGCTCTTATAACTTGCTTAGCCTCTTTCTGCCTAATCTTATAGATCATTTTGTCTTCCTCACTCTGTTTTTTTTTATAATTCCTAAATGCTAACTTTTTGTTTTTAACTATTTTGGCCACATCTGCGGAGTACTACAGTGGTTTATTGAATTTTTTGCTTTTACTGACAAGCCTAATGCAATTTTCTGTTGCCTTCAATAGAGCAACTTTTAAATAATCCCATTTTTCTTGGACTCCATTTAAATTGCTCCAGTCTGATAATGACTCCTCTACCCATATTCTAATTTTAGAAAAGTCTGTTTTTCTAAAGTCTAAAACTTTTGTTTTGTGTGGTGTGACTCAGTCACTGTTCTTATATTAAACCACACTGACTCATGATCACTGGATCCTAAACTTTCACCTACAGTAACATCTGATACTAAATCTCCATTTGTTAACACTAAATCTAGTATGGCCTCTTTACGAGTTGGCTCCTCAACAACTTGTTTTAGAGACAATCCTAGTAGGGAGTTTAGAATATGTGTGCTCCTGGCACAAGTAGCTAATTTTGTTTTCCAATTTACATCAGGAAGATTAAAGACACCCATGATGATAACTTCCCCTTCATTGTCATTTTAGCTATTTCCTCAACTAGTAGATTATCTAACTCTTCTATTTGTCCTGGGGGCCTATAAATCACACCTACACAAGTTACTGTGTGATTACCAAATTTTAACGTAGCCCAAACGGACTCTATGTTTGCCTCACTAACTTTTATTAGGCTAGATTTTATGCTATCCTTCACATACAAGGCCACCCTCCCCCTTTCTTGCCTTCCCTATCTTTCCTATATAAAGAGTACCCTGGTATTGCTATGTCCCAGTCATTTTTCTCATTGTACCATGTCTCAGTAACAGCGACTAAATCTACACTATCAGTTGCCCTTATTGCCACAAGTTCATGGATTTTATTCCCTAAACTGGAAGCATTTGTAGACATGACTCTAAGCTTATTTTTTAACACACTTGCTACAGGCACCTTCTGTCCTTGTTTTGGGGGACAATTGGATTGATGTTTTATCACCTTTTTGCCCCCCCTCCTAGTTTAAATACATCCTAGCAAAACCTCTGAACTGCTCACTGAGAACATTTGTTCCCTTTTGAGAAAGATGCAAACCATCTTTTTTGTTCAGCTTATCTCCATTCCAAGCAGAGCTACCATGAGAAATAAAGCCAAATCCTTGCTCCCGACACCATTCACCAAGCCACAAATTAAAGTCCCTAATACGCATCTGCCTGTCGTTCTGAGTGTTATGCACAGGCAGAACTTCAGAGAATGACAGTGTGGAAGCAACCTGCCGTATATCATTGGCAAAAACACTAAAAACTTCCTTAACCTCTGAAACCTCATTGCAAGCCAAGTCATTTGTCCCTAGATGGACAAGTACATCCAATTCCCCTTCCTGCTTTGCTTGCTTAACAATATTACAGATACGCCTCCTGTCTCTGTGAGCAGTAGCTCCAGGAAGACACCTCACAAGACCACCATTGTCCATCTCCACACCTCTTATAATGGAATCACCCAACAACAACTGCTTTCTATTAGGCCTCACCATAGTTTCCAAGCCGGTCTCCACAACACCACTAGTCTCAGTGCCTCTCTCCACAACACCACTAGCCTCAGTACTTCTCTCCACAACACCACTAGCCTCAGTGCCTCTCTCCACAACACCACTAGCCTCAGTGCCTCTCTCCACAACACCACTAGCCTCAGTGCCTCTCTCCACAACACCACTAGTCTTAGTGCCTCTCCTCACAACACCACTAGCCTCAGTGCCTCTCTCCACAACACCACTAGCCTCAGTGCCTCTCTCTACAACACCACTGGATTGGCTGGATTAGTGGGGTGGTGTTAGGTGGAAGGAACATGACTGATGAGGTTAAAGTCCTCCAGCAAGTCTTCCTCAAGGCCTGTAGTATGGACAGGAGCATTGTCCATGAGCAACATGGCGTTGGCGCAGAACAGGAGGATAAGAAGGTCCTTCATCAGCTTGTGGTCAGGCAATGAGGTCTCCTCTTCCATGACAAAGGTACACTTTGGCATCCTCTTCCAGAAGAGCCCAGTCTCATTGCAGTTGAAGACCCGCTGAGGAAGGTAGCACTCTGAAACCATGACCTCTAGGAACTCAGCTGCAGCAACATCGGAACTCACAGCCTCTCCATGCCTGACCACACTGTGGATGCCAGATGCGGTCTTGACATTTCAAACCACCCCCTGCTCGCCTTGAAGCCTTCTGCATCGGCTGACATTTCTGCCCTTTGGTCGAGGAGGTCAGCGTGCAAGGCCTTGGCTTTTTTGCAGATGATCTCCTCGGTCACTGTGTACCCAGCTCGATGATTCTCTTCAATCCAGAGCAGGAGCAACTTTTCAACCTCCTCTAGAACAGGTGGCCATTGCTTGAAGACCCTGGTGACTCTCTTGGCCACACCTCTCCCAGTTATCTTCTCTTTCATCTTTAGGATGGAAGCGATTGTGGTTGCACTTCTTCCATACTCTTTGACGAGGTCAGTCAATCACATTCCTCCTTCATGCTTCCTGATGATTTCTTTCTTGACCTTGAGCAGAATCATCTCCTTCTTCCTCTTCCCAGCTTCCGCTGCTTTCTTGGATGCCATGACACCACAGTCACTAAGTGAGCAGAAAATTAAAAAAAAATGCTTTGCACACACACCCAGGCTCTCATTGCTCCAGTCAAAGAGCCTCATGTCTATCTACGTAAGCTAATGAAAACCCCAAATATCTGTCCACATGAGCTGGCATGGAAACTACCCCAGAATGCAAAACACACAGTAACAGACATGCACAGCACATGAGCTGGCATGGGAACAACAGTAAAAGCCATGCACAGCACATGAGCTGGAATGGAAACCACCCCACAATGCAAAACACACAGTAACAGGCATGCACAGCACATGAGCTGGCATGAAACCACAGCAAAAGCCATGCACAGCTCATGAGCTGGCATGTAAACCACCCCACAATGCAGAACACACAGTAAAAGGCATGCAAACGACGAAGCTCAGCTCCCTACCTTTCCACCTCTTGAGAAATGCACCAAAAAAGTTCCAAAAAGTCCCAAAACTGCTGCAAAAAAATTCCAGAATGGCTCCAAAACTCAACGGGAAAAAAGCTCCAACACCTCCACACTCGATGCCACGTGCTACCCACAGACTCCAACATGCTACCCACAGGCTCTATATTTGCTTTGTATTGCGAAAAAAAAAATCGTAAACGGAGGCATTATTTCCAATGGATTTTCATAAACCAAAAATTACGTTACCTGAGGCGTTTGTAATACAAGGTAACACTGTATAGGTTTGTATTCTGAATGCTATAATGTTCCTTCAAAGTAACCAACATTTGATACAAAATATCTTTTTTTTTAAATAGTAATACTATAGTAAATTCACATATAGGGTTGTTTGTTAAGGTTACAAACTGAATAGAATTCAAATTCAATGTACAATTTTAGGCTGAAATAACTAAAATAAAGCATAATTTATTTAGAGAAAATGTTAATATTGTGGTCTAAAATGTTAAATTCACTGTGAATTCCTGACAATTTCAGCTATAGTGATATAACCCTGTAAGTAGTGCTAAGGTATTTCCTGATATTAAAATTCATGAATTCTGTTTGACTACTTGAGTTATTCATGCATGTAAAAATCCATGATTAATAACAATCTATATATCTCTCAATCTTTGCTATTGGTAGGGTCACTATAACATAAAAATTTAGTTTGTGCTTCCATATAAGAACCTGATATACACACTGACACATTGACGTATACCTTAGAGTTCCATAAGCATTCTATTACTGACATTCTGCGTTCCTTTTGAGACAAGTTCATAGTAGTGAACTGAAAAACATTTTTACATTTAGAATGAAGTAGTCAAATTCAAAATACAGAACTATTGTTGCTCAGTTTTTTGGCTTTATTTTTGTACATTTTATTTTCATTTCACTGTAACTGCCAGTTTAGAGAATAATGCTCAGTTCTAGGAAATAAGAGGCACAATCCTGTGTTGTAGTGAGCTGAATGCTGGGAAACACAATTTTCATAAACAAGAGAGAAATACAGTATCAGTTACAAACAGCGTATTTATAGTAACAGAACATAACACAAGAGAATATTTTGCAGTTGAAATTCAGAATTGCTATTGGGAAAATAGAAATATGTAAATATCGTCATGCTTGTAACTCTGTGCAAAGTAACATTTTCCAAAAGAATGATAATGTTCTCAGTTAAAAAAAAAAACCTGTCTGTTTGTATTTTGTCTATTGTATGTGTATATCTGGGTCCCTGTCTGTCTGTCTGTCTATCTATCTGTCTGTCTGTCTGTCGACCTATCCAGTCAAAAAGATTTAAAGACTGTATACGCTTGTTTATATAATTTTAATTAACGTGTTTGGTCATTCAGTACCCCAGAAGATAGCACTATATCCCTGAAAGGGTTAATTTGTGTTCTCTAGTGTACGCCCAATTAAATTATTCCAGGTAATATGACTGGTGATACTTTGTCCCATAAGCAAAATGCTCCTTTATAGGCTATCAGAAAGGACACAACATAATGACCTTCACAAATACTGTACAAGTTTATTTACTAAAGTGAGGAGACCAAAATAGTTGAATTATAAAAAAAATTGTACAAATCAGTTATGCGTCCAATTTAGCTATTTTGGACTTAAATATTAAATTCACTTTGAATCCCCAAGAAATCTCATTTTAGTAAATAACCGCATGTTGCCAATTTGTCATAGACATAATGCACATTTACTGGAAGATGTATATGAATATCATTAATATGTATAGTAATTATCAATACCTCCCACAATGATGTGTGATGGGTAGATATGAAATAGCAATGTTTATTGATGTTACAAGTTTAGGAACAGTAAAAAGATTGTGCTATGCTTTATTGAAATTCCAATCTAAAGAAAGTAAAGAAAGAGAAAATGAATTCAGACAATGAAAAAACATTCCGAATTTCACGCTTTCTACTCAATATTTATTTTCACACAGCTTGTTACTGTATATGATGACATTATTAGGGAAGAGCTGTATATCTGTTGCTTGCAAGCCTGAGTATGGCATAGATTTTGAATCAGGTTGCCTCAATTTCCCTGTCGACATCATGTGAAATTAGACAAGTCACTTAGATACCATGGTGCCTCAGGCAGAAAATTAGACAGTAATCTCTCTTACAGTCACTCACTCTATCTGAGCATGTGCAGAACCCAGCACTATGTCATCAGTATACCTCTTCTGATAGCCAGAATACCTCTTCTTAACATGGATATTGTACGTGTTATTATGTGATATTCATGTAACTTATATAGAAATTAAATAGCTTTGTTACATTTTTAGGGATGGAAATAAGATGTCTTGGAATATTTGGAATGTATAATTAAAGAGCCCATAGCCATTTGACCAGTGGATACAAAGCAGAATCAGTGATTTTTGTATGTGTTTGAACCAGACTGATTTGTTTCTAAGTTTATGTGTGAGATTATTAAATAACAGTACACACCAGACCATTGTTAGAGCATGAAAGAATAAAATGCCCGGGCACTCAAAGGTTAATTTAATGCAGATTTATTGCAAATGCACCATTTTGGTTTGATGACGACTTATTGGAGTCAAAACATTGTCTTTTCAATAAGTCTGCATTGTATTAACCTTTGAGTGCCCAGACATTTGCTTGTTTCATACTTTGGATTTGAGGTTAAGCCACTTTGGTCTGTGAGGGAGTAATCGTACCACAATACATGTGCAGTCCCTGAACACTGCTGGATCACACTATTTCTAGTATCAGTAAGGGTTAAGGGGGAATGCTGCAGTTTAATCAATGCTTTTAGGATCCAGAGTTATAGTAAGTGGTACACTGCTCCATCCCACACTACAATGATGCACATTTTTAAAAATTGCAGCTGGTCTTATGAGCGTAGCACTATTATAATGACACTATTATGATGCTCAACAATATGAAGTCAACAAAGTTGCGGTGAATCATCTTAGACATAGAGGATACATAACAGTCAAGTCTGGTGTTATGGGAAAATTACAGATAGTCTAAAAAAGAATGCACTCACTGTTAGTAAGGGTGACATAGACTCTGGGTACGACCAAACCAATTACAGTACTAAACAAAAAGACAATCCAGCACTACTTCGTAGCAGTAATATAGAAGCTTTATAACACTGAAATACTCACCCATTGTCACAGCAAGTCTGTTCCTCCTTAATTTTGCTTTCAAATCACTTCTATTCCAAGTTTAGTGTACCAACTCCTTTACGTGGACAGACCAGACATACTCTGGACACGAGCACAGCATTAGATAGACTCTGGCCTCACTACACCCCATAGTTAGTCAGCGTCCTTATTATTTGTCCCCTTTTTCCTTTGCACGGCTTTAAAATACTACACAGAAGACTTGTGAATTTAATTTCGAATGAATAGCGATTCGTCAGAATTTTCAGCAACTCGTATAAAATCCTGAACTCATAATTTCTATATAGATGATTCACAAAATAAACAAAACTGACAATTTCATCTTCATCTGTATTGTTATTCGGAGTTCTGTCCATTGTATGGGAAAAAAAAAAAGATGATTGTTGGAAAAAAAGATGACGGATAGTTAGGGGCAGCCACTAAATGCTGATTTCAAAGATCAAGTGAAAAGTGACATTCTGAGTGAACCAAACTTTATAATTCTATATGTTATATTTAATAAGTAAATAAATATATTTATATAAATACATATATACTTTTTTTTTACTGTTCCTCCTCTTTTCTCCTCTATTGGTTACTTTTTCATGTTTGATCTGTTACCCAAATGGCATTTAAATGCATCTGTGCTGCAAAATATATACATAATATTTATTTGATTAGCTAATTTTCACGCCATTTAATTCATCCGAATAGTTTTTCCTGAAATAATTGTATGGATGAAATTCATCTGAACCAAAATGCCTCACGGATGAAACGCGAATTGAATGAAACATATTTTTTGTGACAAACCGAACTTTACGCATAATAAGAGGACAGTGATTGCCTGTTGGGGCAGAGCTAAGTCAGCAGCAAGGCTGAGCTACACTGCTTACCTTCCGATCAGAAAGACATTTCATGAAAAGCGGTGACGTTAGAAGGAGCAAAAAGCTGCAAAACATTTGTCTTTTTTAGGCAAAGCTAGACATTTGAACAGGGAGAAAATAACAAAATAATAAATAACTATTTACTAAAGTGAGAATTCAAAGTTAATTTTAAATTTAAGGTCAGAGTAATCAAACTGCAAGCATGGTAGACTGAAATTAACTTTAAATTCTCACTTTAGTGAATAGCTCGGTTTGAATAAATGATTACTGCAGGGTAATTTACTAATAAATAATAGGTGGTAAATTGTTTCAGTATTGGACTACTCACAATAACATGCGTAGAGTAAACACTATTCACTGATAGACATGTGAAATTCGTTTTGTGGCGAATTGTCCGAAGTGCTGAATTTCGGAAGTGCCGAACTGAACCGAATTGACGAATTTCGGAAGTGCCGAAGTGCTTAGGATTTCTGAAAAGTGGCAAAACAAGAGTGGGAGGGAAAATGATGTGAATGATGACAGGAGTAGGGTTAGGTGTAGGGTTAGGGATAGGAGTAGGGTTAGGGTTAGGGGTATCAGGGAGCTATCTACTGAAAGGCTGAAAGACCAAGATTGGTCTTTCAGCCAAATTTACTAATGCTAAGTAAGGGGGCCCTAAGTAACAAAATGGCAGGACCTATTGTCTCCCTCACCTTGCCTAAATATAAAAAATACCCACTCACACAAGTGACTTGGGGTCCCCAAGCTCCTATTCACTCCCCAATAAAATTAAATCCTACCTACCACCTCACCCTAAAAATAGTGAGGGGGAAACAAAAAAACCAAATACCTGTAAATAAAAAAATGTATACTTACCATTAGATGTCTTTTTTTCTTAAACCTTTTTTTCAGCCCCAAAATAGACCAAATTAAATGCCATAATTCCCGTTGAAACTTTGAAAATAAAAAAAAAAGTGCAAAAAAAAAAAACATGGCAATTTTTTTTAAAAACAACGCCAAAAACATAATCCATCTTCACCCAGCGAGGGCACCGTGCAGACGGAACTCCACAGGACGGGGAAAAGCTTAAAAAAGCCTTCCCATGCCCTGCAATTTGACTCAGAGCGCCCTGATTGGTTGATTTAAGCCAACCAATAAGAGTGCTCTGATAGGTAAATTTGAGCCTTGCAAGATGGATTATTTTTTTCACCTCACGTTTTTCTTTTTTCGGTGTGTTTTTTTTTTTTTGCGCTTGAGGGTTTGTTTTTTTTCAAAGTTGCGGATAAAAATCGGATGCGGCCATGACAGTGCCGCCTTAAACTTAGCCCAATACTTGTAATGAACTCAATATTCATAAGCAAGACTTCTTATAAATAGCTTCAGCGTTTAGATGAGAGACCCAAGTCATAGTCTTAGATTTATAATTACTAATTGTCTTTCATGTACTTTTCTAAAACCAAACCACATGAACTTTTTTTTTTACATTCCTTTCTTGGTGTATAAATAAATCCCAGTTAGTTATGACTGTAGACACTAAGTACCCCTATACATTTATTGGATATTGCTTCAGATCATAGTTTTATTTAATGCAACTACTGGATAGACAAAGAGAACACACTTAACAATTCTAAGCAACATGTGCAGTGCAAGAAATATGGAAAGATTTAATACATTGAAAAAAAATGTGGTAGGCATAACAAAAATATATTTTAAATGGAGAGAGAGAGAGAGAGAGAGAGAGAGAGAATGGGGGGAGGGAGTAAGACAAATAGAATGAGTTCAAGAAAGAAAAAAGAGAGAGAGAGAAGGACTGAGTGACAGGAAGACCTCATAGAGGAGGACTCGTGTGTGTATTTAAAGGCAGAGATCTCAGCTCAGACTCCTGAAGGCGGCTCACAGCTCTACTAACACAGAGGAGCAGCGTGACACCAGCACACAGGTAGAGTAAGCTTTGCAAACTTCATTCTCTCCATACAGGTGGCTGGGGCTGGGGCTGGGGAGCTGGAAAGGGGAGCTACTTCAGGAATGTAGCATCTTTAACCCCAGCAGTGCCAGCATAGCTTGTGTTTGAAGCAAACTGCTGAATGTTTGGGATATTTCAAAACCTAAATATCGCATAGGTATATTTATTCTCAGTAGTATGATGAGCTTTTAGAAATGTGATAACACATTATATTTAACCTTGTATTGTCCAAGACAAACCACAAGCAGATTAATTTAACAAAAATGAGATTTTATATATATTTATTTATTTTTATTATTTATTTTTTTTAGTCTGTGAGTGGCTTGTATTTGGCAATCAAATGTTAAATATAATGTGCTTTTACTTTTTTACTTTCCTTGAAGCCTTTTCTAGTTGACCATTATTAAATCACCAGACTGCTATATTTCTGAAAACTATTCAATTTACAATTGAATTAATTGATTTGATTTGTGTATGTATATACACTGTATCTGTGTACCTCCTGGCATTGTATGTTAGAACAGGAATAGGTGAAAGTATACATTTCCATTTCTCCCCCCCCAAAAAAAGACAGATGATTCAAAGATTTTGGGAACATAGACAGCAGTGGGAAGTACTTTACCATTAATTAAATTTAATTAGCAATGGAGGGTAATTAAAAATGATGTAAGTGCATACATTGTTATATATATTTATCTACTGTAGATAGATAGATGGATAGATAGATAGATAGACAGACAAACAGACAGATAGTTAGGTAGATAGGATAGATTTGCATGAAGGTTTAAAAACTAGTATTACCAACTTTCAAATGTGCACTCAGGCTTGCTTGCTGATTATTTTTGTTTAGATTGTAATAGATTGTAAGCTCTGTTACTTTTTTTTCTGCTTGAAATTTTCTCATCATTTATTCCTGTTTGGCTGTTTGTCCTGTGTGATGTGCGATTGAATGAGCTATACACCAGTGAAAGGCTATACACAAGTGAAAGGCTATACACCAGTGAAAGAGGCTTGATCTGAAATCATAATGGAACAAAGTCTGTACGATAGGACGATACAGTTCATTTCTGAATAAATTTACAAAGTTGAAGAAAATTAAAACCTTCAGCTTTGTCTAACTGTTCAGATATGAAAAGTTAAAAATCACCTTAAAGGACCACTATAGTGCCAGGAAAAAAAACACTCGTTTTCCTGGCACTATAGTGCCCTGAGGGTGCCCCCACCCTCAGGGACCCCCTCCCACCTGGCTCTGGAAAGGGGAAAGGGGTTTAAACTTACCTTTTTCCAGCGCTGGGCGGAGAGCTCTCCTCCTTCGTTCCGCCCCGTCGGCTGAATGCGCACGCGCGGCAAGAGCTGCGTGCGCATTCAGCCGGTCACATAGGAAAGCATTCATAATGCTTTCCTATGGACGCTGGCGTGCTCTCACTGTGAAAATCACAGTGAGAAGCACGCAAGCGCCTCTAATGGCTGTCAATGAGACAGCCACTAGAGGCTTTGGGGGAAGGCTTAACCCATTAATAAACATAGCAGTTTCTCTGAAACTGCTATGTTTATTAATAATGGGTTAACTCTAGCTGGACCTGGCACCCAGACCACTTCATTAAGCTGAAGTGGTCTGGGTGCCTAGAGTGGTCCTTTAAGGACTGTTATCAAAAAAAGGGAACCCTTTGATCTTCCACCGTCATTGTTATATGTAATGACCCATATAATTAACATGCATACTCAATTAATATAATTTATATTACCCGCACACACACTAACTGCAGGGCATAATAACAATATAGGCTTATAGTTGAAAATGAAGGGCATATGTTACTTGTGGACAGTATTACTAAGCAAAGAATTGTTTTACATCAGAGGTGTTGAATTGGGCTCCTCAATTACAATTATTTATATAGTGCCAACATATTTCTCCCCGTTGTAAGATAAGAATTAAATTCAAACAGAACATGTATGACAAACGGGAACAGCAGACGAAGAGGGCCCTAGGATCCCCAATCCTCCTGTTATTGGACCAATACACCTATCATTCCAAACCAGCCAATGACACATCTTGTGCAGAAATGAAACAGCTGTCAAACACTATAGTGCACTCAAATCTTCTAGATTATCGTTTTTATTTATATCTGTGGCCTTTGGGTGGAAATAAACCAAGACATTGTCATGTGTGTGTATGCAGCTGTGCTATAAACATGTACAATTCGGCTCGTTTGTGCTATTAACTTTTAGCTTTTTTTCACACAGTTGTCATATTTTCCTTGGCATGGACTTTTATTATGCGCCTGCTTTATATCGAGTTGAAGCTGGTGTTATGCTGCTAGACATTGCATTTATGCCCAATATCTCTATTTATATAAACCTTTTCTGCTACCTGTACTAACAATTATTTACCTCTCATTTTATTATATATACAAATTGTCTTTTAAATGGAAATGTGAAAAAACAGAAATATATATATATATATTAGCATCCTGCCCTGCAACTTAAATCTTAACAAGCACATGTAGGGCCATGTAAAGCCAGTGTACAATTATCTAGTATTCTAGGCACAATTCAGTTTGCTATTTATTGTATATCCCATATCCCCTCCAGTCTCTTTTACTCTCTAGTTTCTCCCTCTGTCAGTCTTTTCTTGTCCCTGTCTGTTTCTCTATCTGTCTCAAACGTGCCTGTCTTTCCCAGACCCCAGATTTTTTTTTAATCTCACAATCATTTGTTTTGCCTAGTCTACTTACCATTATTTTACTTTTCCCTTTCTTCATTAGTTTTACATCTTAACTCAACTATTTTCCGCATCTGCTTCCCCAATTGCTCTCCTCCACAATAATTTCCGCTATCATTATACCTGTCTCTTTTATCCAGCTCTATGAAAAGAGCACAGTAGCATTAGGAATATATATCTGAATTACTAACGCTACAGCCCTGATACCCCTTGTCAACTAGCCCCCCAACTGTATAAAAATTTAATAAATCAAAAAGGAACAAATTACTCACCATTTCTACAGCGCTAAGTCTCCCTCTACTACCTTGACTACTTGCACAGGTTACATCAGGATGACCAGTCATTTCAATTCTCCTCACAGTGGAGTTTTGGTGAGCATATGCACCTGCTGTGATGCGCCTACATTTCCTTTCATTTCCAATTATTGCACTCATGTGACCATGTCGGCACTGCGCATACTTGAGCTGCGCTTCCAATCCTTCTATTTAGTTTAATATTGGGTTTTGGGGGATAGGTTAGAGTGGCCAGCTAAAGGCACTATAACAACTTCAGTAAGAGTGCCTACAGTGTTCCTTTAAATGTGTTGGCAAAAGTGCATTCATTTTGTTGCAAGTATGTGATGAGTTGTATGTTAGTGTGTGGAGGATGCAGGTGTTAGTGTGTCTATATATCACATTATGCAACCGACCAATAAAAAAAAAATGATGTGGTGGGTTGCATGCATATGTGACATTTTGATGTGTTTGGGAGGAGAGAGGGGCACTTAGGGGCACTCACTGCTACTATTATCCTTTTTTTTATTATTCTTTATCAATTTAAGTATAGTTTAATTACCCACCAAGATAGATAATCCCTTGTGTTCTGGTGTTATTCTCCAATGGTTACAGATCACTTTTATTGCTCCATCCAATCCTGAACTCCTAAATGAATGAGTGTGTGGGGCAGGTAAACCTGCTCTTCGTAAGATTGTGAGGGATCATTGATAGTGAAGTGCACTTGTCATAAAGTGCCGTCATTTGGGCTGGCATTGTATGCCCTGAGCACCTGACATAGATGCACAGTGGAAATTTTCATATCGTCCAAATTATTTTGGACAAAATACATTTTGATTTATCTAAAACAAATTTCGATTTGTTGATTCGTTTCGGTTGAAATTCGTCGAATGGAATGCCATGCAGGCAAATCTTTCTTTGGTTTAGAAAAGTAGATGAATCCCTAATTTGGTGCTTTATGCGGGATCGCCATATTTAAAGATTTTAAATTAGGGTGGAAGCTGTGTTTTAGTATCCTTAAATATGACAATCCCACATAAGGATACAAAATTAGGGATATATGTACTACGCAACTGAAAGAGCGTCATTAAGAACAGGATTTTTCCAACTGAATAAAATGGTATCTTTATGTGGGTTTGACATATTTTAGAGTACCAACTAGGGAGCTGTTTACTAGATCTAGCTCCCTTATTTGTTATCTTAAATATGGCAATCCTGTATCAGGATACCAAATTAGGAAACTATATACTAAGCAGCTGAAAGATCAAAATTAAGAAAACCCCTTTTTTTCATTGTAGTTTTACAGTTGTTTATTAGATTATTCTCTAATTTGGTATTCTGATATGGGATTGCCATAGTTAAGTATACGAAATTAGAGAGCTATCGAATAAACACAACAGCTCCCTAATTTGGCAGTGGTACACTTAAATATGGACTTGTAATTACACATAAACTTACCATTTTACAAGAACGAACTAATAAATAAATTAAATGAAAAATGTTATTCGCAGCAATTTCATTGATTAGTTCATTCTTCCATTGTGCCATTCGGAATTTGGATGTACAAGCTGATTGTCGGCCGAATTGAAATTCTCATGGAAACAATTGCTCAAGTCTGATAAGCACTTGAAAAATGACTATTTACTGCAGACAACAATGGTCCCACATTGAGTGTGCTAATGAAAGATACAAACTCTATGTGGATACAGTAATGTTATTTTCATTTAAGGCATATGTAAACATAAAGATAGAAGGTATGCAGTAGCTTATCTCCTGAGTGAAATTAATTCACTAATGATGCACAAAAGTGTGAGGGGGACAGGAGAGAAAGGATATTGGTAGAGTATCCTATGGAGTGGAATACCCTACCAGTTGCAGGAAACAGTAAGGGTACAGTAGAGAACTTAACGTGCAACCTTAATGCGTGAGTATTAAAACAACTTTTTTTTAAAAACATTTGTTTTTTATTGCATTTTGTCAACTCGTCATACATACAATAACATCAGCTTTTTACATCTTAACTTTGCTTGAGTTACAGTCAGTATTGGGACATCAAACACAAAACATGTCATTGCAGCAGGAGCTTACAATTAGTTGTCATACATTTAAACCTTAACTTTTAATGATAAATTTCTAATATGTAAAAACTGGTGAGAGTCAACACCCAACCAGTTTTTACATATTAGAAATTTATCATTAAAAGTTACATTTTAATATTCACGCATCAAGGTTTCTCTCCTGTTCCCCTCACACTTTTGTGCTTTAATTTAAGGCAGCCTTAACAATGTGAAATATGATTTTGTTGAATGTAAGCTATTCATACTATTCTAACGAAATCCCTTTGCAGAATTTTCCTGTATCAAGCTTAACTATATAAACTGCTGTCTACTTTTATAATTATTTTAACACATAAAGATAAAGATTTTTCTTTTATTATTCCTCCCTTTTTTTTACATTTACTCTGCTCGCATTCCTTAACATTTCAGAAGCATATGAAACATCTAGATTAGAATTGATGTTATGTTTTTTATTTTTATTTTTTCCTTAAATCAATTGATTCCTAGACAGATTCTTACTCTGACACCGTTAGAATTATCTATGGGATTGGGAAGAATCACATTACTTTGGATCCAAATCAATGTTTTTATATTTGTAATTCCAACCTTATTAAATATAATCAGCAAATGGAAAATTCGATTAAAATGCAAATGCATCAATATTTTTTTTTTTTTTTAGGACATAATGTTGAAGTACTTACTAATGAACGTGATAAAAATATAACAGAACACAATTACATAATAATAAATTGTGAAGTCAATGAAGGATGTAATAAATACAAAAATACATCTGAGTGAAAACAGAAATAAATATAGCTTCTAATTTAGGGTTGTTTAGGGATGCAATTTCCTCCATTTTTAAGACACACATCACATATTCAAATTAGTGGACAGCATAGTATTTATACACCACATTCTGCAGGTAGTAAATCAGGTTCAAATCAGTTAGGAAGAGAATCCTGCAGCATATGCATTCTACATACAATAGGGCAGCATTTTCACATGTTGCCAATCAAAGTGATGAAATCATGTGTCCAATAAACCATGGTGGATATAGCAACCCAACTGTTATGAGAAAGTCTTATCAGGGGTTTAACCCCTCAAGGACACAACTTCTGGAATAAAAGGGAATCCATGTGTCCTTAACTCCTTAAGGACCAAACTTCTGGAATAAAAGGGAATCATGACATGTCAGACATGTCATGTGTCCTTAAGGGGTTAAGGGGTTAATATCTACGTCTTGAGGGATTTTAGAATATGATGAGACAAGTTTTCCTAACATCATTTTTACTTTAGCACTAATTTAGATGGTAACAATAAGCCAAGCAGACTACAAACTTTAATGCAATGGTTCAAATTATGTTTTAAACACAAAGAAAGTACATGGCATAACTTTGGCAACTCATTTTTTTAATTGTAAAATTAGCTCAGGATCCATTATTACATTAAATAACCTCAAGTAAAATGTATTGTACTAAAGAGATTCAGTAAAATTGCACAACATCAAAGCACCCTCCATTGGATTGGAGATGGCATTATTGCCACTATAACAATCTTATGATCCAATGTGGAAAGTAGCCTGGGGGCTTGACAAATATATTGTGCTTGTTCCAACCAAAGAGACCCAAAGAGCATAACATGCATTAACATAACTAGCACCTTCAACAACTTTTTATCTGTTAACGTTACTTAGATTGCAGACAAGATGATGGCATCACTGCCCTCTTAATTAGGGAAACTCAAAAAGATTTATTATAGAGGACATCAATGATGTAATCCAGATCTACAATGTGCCCCCTAGCCATAGTTATACATTATCTACTACTCAAAGCTTTACATGGTTACTGGTATTGATCAATTAGTCCACGTATGTCACCTATATTTTAATATAAAATAATTTGATTGAATATTATAATGGAGGTCATGTCACTAAGCACATTGGACTGTTTGACTATGATAACAATTGTTCTGTGACCGATTTACCAATATCGTTTATAATTATATCTGCCAGATAGTAATTTATGTTGCGTTTGTGTACAAAAATATAGAAAACTATTATAACATATTTGGCACAAACGTGATCAATCTTCATAAGCATTGAATTCTGGACACATAGCTCATCCAGGAATTATATACTAGTATGGCAATATACAATCAAACTGATGTAATAGACTTGTTTCTATTTAGTAACTTATCCTAAAACAATATAAGTGGAAGACAGTGACGTAGGACTGGACTGACTAATGAAATCTATGGGAAAACTGTTTCTCCGTTACCAGTGATAAATTGTCTGTGGCTGTGGAACCTAGCCCTTAGTTTAATTATTATTATTTTTATTATCAATTAAGTCATATCCTTTATTTGCTGTCAAAAGCATTTCATGTCAGGTGCAGTTATATTTCCCCATCAATGTTTACTATATAAAACTGCAGTGTCGATTTGCAAAGCAGTACACTGTGGTAAAGTTATACTTCAATGGTTATTGGAACATTCTTCAGTTTGGTTTAGTGGGGAATTGTTTGTTTGTTAAATAGCTATTTTGCCTTGATTTAGTAAATCAGTTGTTACTTTTCCCATCACACATACATATTTGGCTGTTTAAATGTACTTATTAATGTTGGTTTTTTTTTAGAATATGCAGCCATATGTTTGTTTCTAACACATCATAAATAAAATTTATTTAAATTTCCATAAATTCCCCAAATTTGACCCAAAATTGCAATTTGGATCCAAATGAGTTTGCATTTATTAATGGCAATTTAGACACACATTCTGAGATTAGTCCATAAAGTGAGTAATTTAAATCAATTGGGTCTGCTGAAAAAAAAAAGTACAAAAATGTCAAAATTCTGAGTATGGGGATGGTTTTCAGTAGTGAGTACACTTTCCCGATATTGGTGGAGCCTTCAGAGCATTATTCATTTAACTGATTAATACTACAGTACTATATTTTCTGCATGTGGAAATCATGTCGAATTTTTTTATAATACTACTACTACTCACCAAAGCCATCAGATTCCTCACAAATACCCCTAAGCAGTGTGTTAGACCATTTTCATTTATCTTTTTTCTTTTTTTAGTTTTATTAACCATTTTAGATAGGCCACGTGGGAGCTTTTTATGCAGAAGTCACCCTGGAGCCGCAGGTAGCTGAGTGATCACTGATTGGTGGGGACCGGGATAACCCCAGCTGGCCTAGAGGTGGGGGAGGAGAGTACGGGGCTCTATAGATCCACAAAGAAGAAAGCCCAAGCCGCCCAGGACAGAGAGATCGGCCACTTCTCCCGCAGAGGAAAAAACAGGCCATGAGTTGTTGGTGGCTGCCACTGCTGGGCTTTGAGAGTATGGAGGTCTGGATCTCACTCCAAAGTTGCCTAACTTTAAACTTTAGGCCATAATAGCCTAGGAAAAATTATCCCAGTCAATTTTGTTTTCATTTGTGCCACTTTGTCCTTATTTTTTAAATTGATGAATTTATTTTAAATTTACAACACTTTAGAGAATAACCATATAACCATATTTTTCACACATCACAAATTCATAATTGTTTTTAAAAAAATAGAGGTTAATTAAATATTATATTAAAATTTCTGGGAAGTGAGGGAAACCATTAAAATAAAGTCAATTTTGGAAAATGGGAACACAAGTATTTAAGATGAAAAGAAATCCATAAATGGGCAACAGTGCACCTTAGTCTCCATGTGTAAAAATGTAAACACACGTAGATATCTATAAATATTGTAGAAAACAGATTGAGAATGTGTAATTCTAGTTTCTAAGACATTATGCATTCTATTTCTATTATAAAAATAGAGCCAAAAGACATGAAATACATGCCCAAAACTATAATTTGCCTAGGCAAATGAGTCAAGTTTGATCCCATTCTAGTATGTCTGTGCCAGAACCTCATAATTTTAAAAACAAAATTATCATCTCTAAGACACGTTAAATCTGGTGAGTGATAAAAATGCAATATCCCACGTAACTCGTTTCAACAGCAAATATAGCATATATAGAGGCATAAAAATACATATATCTCTCAACATATAGATATATTAATGGGAGGTCACCAATCATTTACAAACAGAAGCTGTTGGAGAAAATAGATAGAATATTCGACACTGTCAAAGTTTTGGTAACAGAATGTGGATTTGATTCAGCTAAATATCTGGTGCGGAGTATAAACTAATACTGTCTGAATGTGTTCTTTTTTGAACAATCTGGCATGGTTTCTTTCCACTATATGTAATATGTTGGAGTATTTATGATTGATGCATGGGTTAGAAGCTATCCTTGCTATTACTATCTACAGTATTTATTTGCAGTTATACTATTGCTGTAGTCCACTTTCCGTTTTATTTTGTCCAGAAATGGGAATCTGACTTCAACATTAGCTATTCGGTCATTCAGTATAATTTCTGACAAGGTTATTTGCTAAAGAGAGAATTGTTGGGGATCCAAAGTGAATTTAAAAGTGACTCTCTCGTTTTTAGTCCAGATTAGACGAAAGTTAAGCAGTCCTGCTATTGTTTAACCTTAGATTTGAAATTCACTTTGAATTCATGACATTTCTTATTTTAGTGAACAACCTCATATTAATAATAACATTGAGGCAGGCAGTCCTGCGTGTTGCTGGAAAGGCCAGAAGCTCAAATATTTTTTGTCACTAAATCTGCCATTAAAAAAGCACGAATACAGTTTTCTCCTACTTGGGTTTGAGGCACAGGACCTGCTGACCATATGGTAATTCCTAATCACATTAATAATATTAGTATAGTATTTAATCAGGAAAGGTACATTTTGATTATCAACATTTATCAAATTTTCAAGTATGGCTCAGGGTGTAGATGTTATTGTAATTCAATTGAATAGTTCTCTTTATAAAGGACGAAAGAATGAGTTTACTTTGTGAGTCTGAGATACTGGAGCTGGACTCATGTATACCAAGTTAGCTTACCCAGAGTGCAGATGATCCAAAAATGGTGATGGATGGATATTCCAATTTACTTCACTGGGGTAGGAAGGACATACTATTCTGCATCATCATTGGAGATCTGTCAGCTTTTCCAGAGTCTTAAAGCATATTTCATTTAAAGAAAATCATCATGGGTGTCAGGTTTTATCACTGCAGTTTGTGTCACCTTCTAAGTTATTTGTGCGTGCTGTAGATTGATCCCACCATTGTGGTCTGGTGTGTCTAATCGTTTCACTTTATACTCCTATCTCCTTTAGAAACATAGCAAAGGATCTATTTATATATTTATTTTGAAGGAATGGGTTGGAAACTATTAACCTCTGTGTAGCTAAATTATTGAATATCCAGTCATGGAATTTGTTGGTGCTATAGAAATATAATAAAAATAATAATGGGGAGATCATGTCCAACCAAACCCTTAAAGCAGGGATAGGCAACCTTTGGCACTCCAGATGTGTACTACATCTCCCATAATGCATTACTTGAGGGAAGCTGTAGTCCACAACATCTGGAGTGCTGAAAGTTACCTACCCCTGCCTTAAAGGATGCTTGTCATACTCCTTCAATGATTAAAATCATATCTTTGGAAAGACAAGAGAATTAGAACCTGGGAAATGTTGAGATATGTCATTTAATGCCACTGCAACAAAAAAAAAGAGAAGAGGAAAAATCTGGAAAAATCACCTGACTGAAAAATACTTTCCTCCTTGTGTTTTTCTCTCCTTGTCTGGCACTCACTTGGAAAGAATGTTATTTAGCTGGTTTCGGGGAAGGATGTCATACAGCTGTTGGGTGAAGAACTGGAAAATATGTTTGATGTGATGTAAATTATCGGTGTATACAAACGTAGCATCATGTGATGTTTCCAAATCCAGTTTCTCATCAAATATACTACATTAATATTTGCATTTACAGTATTTATAATGTTTTACTCATGCAATGAGAATGTCAGGCTCTAATTACTTGATACGTATCTTCCACAGGGCTTGTCACTTCCCTTCAACAGCTTTTGATACCCTCTGCACCACTGGAAAAATGAGGAATTCTTCTGTTGGCCTTGCAATTCTTTTCCTAATGGTGGTGAGAACAAGTCGTGGAACCTGTGGAGAGCCCCAGGAATCTCAGGCCTCTGGGGTACAGCTAAAGGTAGGGTGCAATATATGGATATTATTATATTGTTATAAAGTACAAATATATGTTTATTTTGATTTATTATTATTATTATTATTATTATGGTATTTATATAGCGCCATCAAATTCCGCAGCGCTTTACAATGGGTGGACGAACAGACATGTAGTTATAACCAGACAAGTTGGACACACAGGAACAGAGGGGTTGAGGGCCCTGCTCAATGAGCTTACATGCTAGAGGGAGTGGGGTAAAATTACACAAAAAGGTAAGGATAGTATTAGACTAGTGACAGTTGCAGAAGAGGAATCAGTCTGGAGCTATTAACAGTTAAATTGATACGCTTTTATGAAGAAGTGGGTTTTTAACGATTTTTTGAAGGAGTGGAAACTGGGTGAGCATCTAATGGAGGACAGGAATGGTGCAGCCCTCGAGAAATCTTGAAGGCGAGCATCAGAGGTGGGAATACGGACAGAAGATAGACGTAAGTCTTCAGCAGATCGTAAGGGCCTAGACGGGACATACTTGTGTATGAGGGAGGATAGATAGGTGGGAGCAGCATTATGTAGAGATTAGAAAGCAAGAACCAGAATTTTAAATTTAGCTCTATATTTTTTAGAAAGCCAATGTAGGGACTGACAGAAGGGTGAGGCATGGCAGGTGCGGGCGGACCGGAAGATGAGCCTCGCTGCCGCATTCATTATGGACTGTAACAGCGCAAGTTGGGAGCATGTAAGACCACTGAGAATGGATTACAGTAGTCGAGGCGAGAAAGGACAGTGGAATGGACCAAAACCTTAGTCGCATCTGGCGTTAAGTAGGGGCAGATGCGCGCAATGTTTTTGAGATGGAAATGACAGGATTTGGCGATAGATTGAACATGAGGCTTGAAGAGGAGGTCGGAGACAAAGAGAACACCTAGGCAGCGAGCCTGCGTGGTGGTGCTGATGGTAGCATTTATTGATGATAAACAAGACAAGACATAAAAGGAAAACAAGTAACCAGATAAAGACTAAATCACCAAATGTGTGCAAACTTTATCTCTGTGTACATATTAGTTATACACTAATTCCATTGTACATTAGCTGAAAAGTGCGTAATATTATCTTGGTTAGCAAACTGTGTGAGCAATGACAGGTGTGTAGATCTGAAAGTGTAGGGTGATGAATAAAGAACTATTCAAAAGAACTGAAATTGTAGGCAATTATAATAGGTATGTAGCATTAGACAAAGTCTGATGAAACTCTTTAAGAAATTCCATAAGGATGATTCTCTCCAAAGTAAAACAATAAGCAATAGTTGGTGGTGGAGATTGTAGTGTAATGACCAAGAGCTAATTACTTGTTAATTGAGAAGTAGTTTCAACTTTGAACAGGAGAGTTGGAATTTTTTATTGAATCCTAAAGTATATAGAAAGCTAGTGTAAAAATTGGCAGTATTGTGGGATTATGTAAAATTGATGGATAAGGAAGATATGCCTGACATCCAGCATTGATTAAAGGGGAAAGATGGAAGTCAATGAAAAGTAACTTTGGAGTAGCCAAGAAGGAACACATTCAGTATGAGTTGAAGAACTTTGGCTCTATCTTATGTTGCAATGGGGCAAATGCAAGATATGTATTCTAAAGGTTGCCAGTCCCTGGTGATCTTCTGTTCCGAAATTACAACCTAATGTCATCCTGCACATGAGAGGAATTTTGGTTCTTGGTCAGAGTAAGACTGATGAAAATTTCAGAACCAAGACACTAGATGTTTAATATTCCAGGAAGCCAAAGGATGTGGATCATTAGTCTACGGGCATGGTAATGTTTCAAACCACTGCAGATCATTTTGGTACAAATTATTATACATAATAGTATAATAGTGTAGAACGAAACTAAATACGTTTGATTTAGTTATATTCATCGTTAAATTCATCTATTATAAATTTATTTTAAGGACTGCTTTCATCAATAGCTATAGGTTATGCAAGCTTTTGTAGCATGTAGGGACTCCTAATTATATCAGCCATCAATCACTTAAAGCCAACGTCAGAGGCATCTTCTTGCACAATGCATAATAGATGTCAATGAAAATGAAATACTCATGCACAGGATACTTCCAGTGACATAACAGTCTTGTGGGATTTTTCATAAAGTCCTGTTTTTTAATATTGCAAATGCATTAGAACATAGCAGTGACACGCGGAAGATGAAATTACTGGCAAGCGAGGCTGCAAACAGTTACAAGAAGAAGATGGAGGTGTTAAAAGCACACAACCGGGTGCTGAATAAATATTCATTATTTTAACTTCCATTTCAAATCTTTAAGTTCCTGATTTTCGATTACAATATCGGGTTCCTGAGTTCCTGGGAGTTCAAATTGCTTAAAGCTTCATCCAATATCTCTGTTTGAGATGATATGCACTACAAGTCCCGAGCCTACTTCCAATTGTCTCTAAAAAGTGTGAGTTTATCCACTATCTTCATAAAACCATATACACCTTACACAGGTTACGCTAGGTAAATCTGTTCTTTATTTCATCCAATATAGGATAAAAAGAAATCCTGTTTTATTCGATTACTAAAGAGAAGTACATTGTAAGGAATATTTCTGTTATACTTTGTAAGAAGAATCTGTACATGAGGTATTTTTCCTTACATTTCTGTGTGCGCTTAACACCCTTTTCATTCCATTATACACAACTGTGTCTATGCAGTATTTTTTATAGCAACACCAGTAATCATTTTCCTTACATAAGGTATGTCAGACTGTGCCACCCCAGGTGCTCTTACAGAATATTCTCATAATTATCTTTTTAGCAAAGTGAGTGTTATCCAACATCAGTTATGGAAGGGAACATAGATAGATTTACGGATTTCACATTTGATAGTGAGAGTGCTTGACGAGAGGTGCTTCCAGTGGAGTGACGAACAGCAGACTTTTTATTTCTGTCTATTTTGTGTATTTGATACATTTGTTTTTTAAAGTGACACAATAGGCACCCAGGTCTCCGTGAAGTGGTCTGGGTGCAGAGCCCCGTCATTTTAACCCTGTAATATAAAATATTGTAGTAGATGCAGCAATGTTTTCATTGCAGAGCTAAACATACCTCTAGTGTCTTTTTGTCATCCACTAGAAGCGCTGCCACTATGAGAATCAGGTTAGACTCAGTTCTCACACATCAACTCCTCTGAGAGCATTAGCAGGAGAGCAGAGCTTGCCGCACATGTGCCTCACATCCCCAATGCTCCTCTATGTTCCTTTATTATATGTAATAGTATTGGACATTCTGCTTAGTGTGTGGTTTTATAGCCATGTTTATATTTAAAGTGTCATTGCATAAAAGTAAAAGTGACATATATTTCTAAAACATTATAACATATTAAAGTTATGCAAACAATGAAGTAAAACATATAAAAAGATAATTACATTTAATGTACTTGCACATGCCAGCTGCAGCACCTGAAACATTACAGTGAACCATTACAAGTGTCTTTTATTCAGTATATAGCAGCAAGCATAAAATAGAAAATTTCCAACTAGCCAGTAGTTTTCCAAGAATTGCAATGGCTTATCCTTGCTGCTATACTCTAAATAAAAGACAATTGTTACATTGAAGAAGTGCTAGACCACTATATCTTCACTGGATTTTGGATACTGGTGTGAAGAAACTCAACCACTGGTGTAGGTGCTCATCCATTTCATTACTTTTGAAAACCCCTTTTCAGATTTTGATGTGCACATCAGAAGTGGCAGTCTTAGAGTTGCAGGATGTTTGCAAACTTCTATATTTATTGCCATGTGCACGGTGCCAGGGAACCTCCTTACACTTCCGACCCCATAGCAACTTAAGCCAAGTGTTCAACTGTCATCCTACCTCCATGGGTTAACCCTTGTTTCTAAGGTTTAACCTTACAGTTGGGGGTTTTGTGCCTGGCACCTCTTCCACCAAGCTTCCTTCCTCTCTTTGCTGAAATATGAGGAAGGTTTAGCTGGAAGGTAAGTGATAGACTGAGAGTGCCCATTGAGAGAAAGAGTATGTAACTACAAAATGGTTTAACCCTTAAGACAGTATCTGGGTAAGACAGCATCTGGACATTTCTGCACCCATAACAATGTAAAAGGACTTACGTTGTTATGGGAGTGGAAGCAATATACTGCCTAATGCGTGGTGTTGGTCAAACCATGTGAATGAGTGTTTCTCATGATCTTATGTCTGGATATGGTATTATCCTATGCCTCAATATGTAGACCAACTCTTGCATTCCCTCCACTCATTTTGTGTCCTGTGTCTTTTATATGAATGAATCTGGTATGATGGCTGGAATGCTCTGAATGCAATCACAATGGCATCGTTCCCTGATGCAATATGGCAAGCTCATCCTTCAGGTCCTCATAAAATTGTACCAGCTGTTCAGTGTCAAATAGCATCTATCTCTAAACTGCGCCTCAGACTTGTCAGAAAGAGGTCCTCTGGTCTACATGCCCTTCCCTTGCACCTCCTATGTTTCATGGGTATAAGTGGCTGATATTCAGATTGAGCATCCAGAGGCAGTACAGGAGTGTGTGGTTCAATTTCCTATGGTCTGCATCAGCTACCATAGCCCTCTGCCCCTTGGTAACCGTGAAGCATCATGAATAGATTTGATGTGGAAGGACTCAGTGTTTGATATATTGTGCCAAACATGAGGTGTGCCAGAGAGATTATGGAGATAAATGTAAGTATGGATTATTTGTTATAATGTATTCAAGTGATGTATATGTATGTATGTATGTATGTGTTGTGGGTGATATACAGTGTTTTTGTAGGCAAATATTTTGGGCAGCAACAGTTGTTTTCTTCCACCATTGGAAATGTTAAGATATCTTTGCTGGGCTTTACTAAGTCTTAAGGTGTTGGTATGTTTTAAAGAATGGAAAATCTGACACAGGTGGAGTGACCTAGGGTGAGGTCTATAAAGACATCTAGTAATCTATAGAGTGGTTAACACAGAACATTGGTCAGTGTTCACTGTAATGCTGTAATGTTATGGTGTAGGTGAAGTGTGTTGAAATTAGAACTATAGAACTATTGGACTTGTATTGAATGTTATGAGGCAGGAGTAATATTGGATGGATAAAGATGTAATATTTTCATTGTACTGATACACATTAATAAGAAGTTATGATTGATTTTCACCAGTCTTATCTACACAAGGTGGCTTGCAGTAAGCAAAATAGGGACATTAGAATAGAAAAGAGGGTCAAATGGATTTGTGCCTCTTATATAGAGACACCCCAGTCAATAACAAGGAATGCTCAGTACCAAATATTGTCAACTGACAACCATGCAATACCCACTTTTTAAATTGAGGGGTCTAAGGAGTCCCAATCAACCAATTTCTGAACGATTTTGGGGTCTTTTTCAGTGAATTTTGGTCCCATTTTGAATTTATTTAAATGTACTTCAATTTGGGTCTTATTAGCATGTGGTATTATAAGTTATGGAAAATAGTAAATTACACGTTCACCCTTTGATATTTTGCCTTACAATTACTCCAAATGTCTTCTATAAATTACACATTAAAAATGTTGCTTAATGAATAACCCTGTTAGCGCATTAAATCAAATGACACCACAAATGTGAGGTGTATGTAAACATGTCAACCTTTTTGTTTATTTTCTCATTTACAAAAAAAAAGCTGGAATTATTTTATGTAAAATACACATTTGCTAATTTTCTTTCTTAAAGTTCTTTTTTTCAATAGAAAACCTGTAACTGTATCAGATGAGTGTACTCAGGACTGACTCACACATTCCTGGTAACTAGGAAGAATATTAAATTTTGTATGTCACCCATACACATCCCACTAGCATGTGTCATATTAACATATAAAAATGAAAAAGCATATGTAAATGACAATTTTTCTTGAAGCTGCCAATTTTTTTTATGCTTCAATATAAATTAATCTCTCATTACCTCTCACTTTTCCCAGTTCATGTTCCTGTAAGTAAGACACCCTTTCCCTCCCTTTTTCACTAGTGTCTATCCTATGCTTTATATTAAAAATGTTACAATAGAACAACTAGAAAAATGGAAAATTGCATAAAAAGGATGTAAAATACACCTTAAAATGTACCTTTCCAAGCTGCAGAAGCCTGTGGTGACCCTCCCCATTTTTTGCTCAGTAGTGTCATAGACCTGTTCTTTGTGCAATTTTGGGCACCTGTTCTAAAGAAGGATATTATGGCACTAGAAAAAGTGCAGAGGTGGGCTACAAAATTAATAAAAGGAAGGAACATATCGGTTATGAAGAAAGGTTAACAAATTTAAACCTATTTAGTTTACAAATATATTCGGGGCCAATACAAACCATTGTGTGGAAATCTATTCACAAACCGGACTTTACATAGGACACGAGGCCATGCGTTTAGACTGGAAGAAAGAAGATTTCGTCTAAGGCAAAGGAAAGGTTTTTTTACTGTAAGAACAATCAGGATGTGGAATTCTCTGCTTGAAGAAGTGGTTTTACCAGAGTCCATACAGATGTTCAAGCGGCTACTAGATGCATACTTGCAAGAACAGAATATTCAAGGATATAATCTTTCAATGTAGGGTAATAACTGCTTGATCCAAAGATAAATCTGCCATTCTGGGGTCAAGAAGGAATTTTTTTCCTAGCTTGTTGCAAAATTGTGCTTCAAACTGTTTTTTTTTTTTGCCTTCTTTTGGATCAACAGCAAAAAACAAATGTGAGGTAGGCTAAACTTGATGGACGCAAGTCTCTTTTCAGCTATGTAACTATGTAACCTCGAATGTGCAGTACCGTCTTCATATCTTGTCTCTGTTAATATTTTGTAGTTTAACTACTTGTTGTCAAATTCCCTGTCTATAATTGTACAGTGCTACACATTATGTTGGCGCTATTGAAATACTACGACTAATAGCCACTTTATTTTTGTGCTGGACTTTGTCAAATGAAATGCTTCCCCAGATTAGCCCTGAGTATACATCTATCTCCCAACTGACCAATCTATCATAGATAAGCTTAGTGGTGGCAACAATGCAAGCCCCACAGTGTATGCATAATTTAACAGTATAAGTAGAAGTGTGGTATCAGATTTAGGTTACCAGCAAACAGTATAAATAGGAAATTGGTTAAATTAAAAAATGTTAGATCATATAACCAAAACCTTGCCCTTATTATTTGTGTAGGCCACATGCGTTAGGCCACATGTGCGGCTATAAACCACTCAAACCGACTACATTTTTTCTCTTGACTGTGTAGAGGAAAGGAAATTACTATCAGAAGGATGGATGGGTAATAATGTGGGTATCCCCTGGATGTTGGGAAAAAGTTACATCCCCAGGATGTACTTGGAAACCAGAGTTATCTGAATGTACCTTTCCTGGTTAAATACTTTGTTATTATTATTATTATTACTGGTGTGTTTATAAATAAGAAAGGTGGTATAGGTGAGTGTGGGGGTTGGTGCTAGTATGTAGATTTGCAAGTATATATATAAAATAGACTTCTGCATTTGTTTTTGGAGTGATGCACATTCGACCGAATTTCATGCAATTCATTGGCCTATATCAGTAAAAGTGATATGATTGGCAAGATAACACTCAGTGAGAGGGTAAAAATAAAATTGCTTTATCCGTATTTCGTCAGCAAAGAATGTGCAAAAAATAAATTAAAAAATAACTGAAAAACCATGAACGTAATTCAGTTTGAACAAATATTTTTTTTATGAATCAAAATTTCCGTCCATGTAAGAGTCTTATATGCATATGTGTATGTATATATATATGTATATATATAGAGAGAATAAACAAAAAAAGAAACAAATGCCATTCTACCTGTGTATGATTTACTGAGAAGATTGTAGATTAAAAAGTAACTTTTAATAAATAAATCTAAAATAAGAATATAAAAAAGAAAAATAATATGAACAGCAGGAGTAAATGGGCTCTGGACACTTACTGACACATTATTGGTGTCGGCATCTAACTCTCTGCTTATTTATTGCTAAATTACCGACATCAAGTTCATTTATGTCCAGCATTTCAGGAGTGCATATTGGAGACTCTTAACACTAATTTTGTGTACTCTGTACATACTTTATTTCTCTTTCTTTTTCCTTTATTATGTTTATGGGGGGAGATTGATAAGACCAGGCATTTTATTAAGGGGTGCCCTCGAAGGCACAAGACTCAGGAATCTTTATTCTATACGCCTTCCTCTGTCACTGTCTGTATATTTTCTACTACCTAGGCAACCTGTTCAAAACTGTTTGTAAGCCCTCTCTTTATACTTTGACCTATTATTTAGATGCAGCTAGCATTTAGGCAATTTGTGTGATTTTTAACCAGTTAACTGCTGCCTGTCAGCAGTCCTTCACAGGTGAGCTGCTACTTTGTGCTCCACTGTGGTCAAGCATAAGTTAACATCATTCAGTGCAGGCAGCTGTTGTTACACTAGAATATACTGCTAGGTATCTTGCAGAAAAAACGGAGCCAGGTCAGCAACCCCTTATTTTATACTTTACTGCTTGACAGCAATCTTTAATTTATTATCAAAATGCTGCTATGATCTAGGCAGCTTTTGTGATATTTAACTGGCTAATCGCCGTCTGTCAGAAATCTGTCTTAGCTGAACCATTATCTTTGATCTTTCTGAGGTTAAGCACCATAGAACATTATCAATTATTGTATGTGGAGTTAACCCATGTTGTTAGTTGTACTATCATGTAGGGATTTACTTATCCATATCGTTTAACTATTGACAGCACTGGTTTAGCAGTTGTCTTATCTCCCCCCCCTTTTGCTACAGCTATTAGTGATATATAATATAGTATCACTTCTATTACTTGGGAATACACTGTTATATTGTAGCTAAACAGTATTGCTTCAGCATTAGTGTTATTATGTATACACTTTTACAGCTTATATAAGTAGTCACAGAGTTTTACTCGCTGTATAGTCTCCATTTACTCCTGCTGTTCATATTATTATTTTTCTTTTTTATATTCTTATTTTAGATTTATTTATTAAAAGTTACTTTTTAATCTACAATCTTCTCAGTAAATCATACACAGGTAGAATGGCATTTGTTTCTTTTTTTGTTCATTCTCTATGACATTCACCATTTAGGGGTTACCCCCCTTTTTTGTGCCCTCTACCTTGTGATATCTAAATTTTGGCCCTAGGTTAATTCTTTTTGTTTTTCTCGTATTATATATATATATATATATATATATATATATATATATACACACACACATATATACATATACACACACACACACATAAGGTAAGTAAGAAACAAGCTTTCCTTCACAGCAATTTCTTTGTACAACACAGCGTGAGTTAAATTAATTTCCATTTTTTACTTTGTATATCTATTTAGCTAGTGGTTTGCACATAAATCTCATGTTTCAGTTCTGCTATAAACTCATAAGATTAGATATTAGAATGCTGTTAGAATTCTAGCCCAGGTATAAAAGTATTTGAGAGAGTAAGCTAACATGGTACCCGATAACTACGTGCCAAACTGGCTTTCAAAATGATCTTTTTTTAAAGAAATAACCACATAGAAAACAGTGCAATTACATTAGGTATTGCAATGAGAAATGATGAAATATTTTATATTCCAGGTTATGTACCTTTTCTCGCCAAAGCACATGTAACACTTCCTTAGATACACATTACAGGATTGCAGAAGCTAATTTACCATCTACAGATGCACTGCGTTAATCACCTCGGGGATGATGCTGTGGGCACAGCAGAGCTCGTAGTTTAAATTATTCACCGTTACTAATTACCTTTTTTTTTCTAAAATAATTTTCAGTTTACATTTTTGAATTTAAAAACTTAATGTGCACTTTATTGACAACATCATTTATTTAGATATTTATTTGTTTTGCTGTATTTGTATAGAGTTGTGTAGGTTTGTAGTATAAAGTAATTGAGATGGTACTGTGAATTTAAAAAACAACAAAAATGTTAATTTCTCCTTGAGTATATCCACTGTAATAAGTAACTAAATAGAATATATAATTATGTAGTGATAGATTGTACTTTGAGAATGCCTAAGTGAAACCAGTTTGTTATGATTTTAACTGTACATCTTAACTGATGTAGAATTCATAAGTTCACCCTTTCTAAATCGTATAAATGTGCAGCAAATTTTTTTTTTAAAGGACACAATAAGCCTTTTAACTGCTTTATCTCAATACAATTTTGTTTGGAGTCCCCTGGTGCCATGCTTCCATTCAACTACTTTTAATGCTTTAATGCTCAACTACAGTTTCTAGCAGAACACCCCCTCTATTCTACACGGGCTAATGACGAAGCGTTAGCCTGAGCAACAATAAATGGTTGCCATTGGCTGAGAGTGTCAACTGACCACTTTAAGCCTATCACACAACCCATTGCTGGTATGGATTGGTATGGCTAGCAGGAAGTGCGTAATCTCTGTGTTAGTCATATCTCCAGTAGAGGCAGAACTATTGATAGAGAAGAACCCTTATTTATGTTTAACTGAAAGTAGGAAAAGCACCAAAGGACTCCAGGTACTAATTCAATGAGACTAAAAAGGTTATGGTGGCTACAGTGTCCCTTTAAATAATTTAAGTATAACTTCCCCACTTACAATTTCAATTCTTGTGTTGCTTATCCAGAAATTATTATTATTATTATTATATTTATAGAGCGCCGTCAAATTCCGCAGCGCTTTACAATGGGTGGACGAACAGACATGTAGTTGTAACCAGACAAGTTGGACACACAGGAACAGAGGGGTTGAGGGCCCTGCTCAATGAGCTTACATGCTAGAGGGAGTGGGGTAAAATGACACAAAAAGGTAAGGATAGTATTAGACTAGTGACAGTTGCAGAAGAGGAATCAGTCAGGAGCTATTAACGGTTAAATTGATACGCTTTAAATAGTTCTTCTTCTCTTTCAAGCCTTTTTTTTTTCTCAACCTCATGAATATATGGGCTCAACATTGTTTTACATTCCTAAGAAAGTCAGTAATATTGAGCATATAAAGTTCCATTTATTTTTCCCTTTACTCCAACACTTGTTTTCACCCAGCAGAAAAAAATATTCTCTAACACCACAACATTCTGCACCTTTACAAGATATACAGTAAATTACAGCCTCCTCTCATCTAACACACTTTACAGAAACCTTTGTAAGTGAAACTAGCGGCATTCGAGTGGCTAGGAAAGGTAACTCCATAGCAGAAAATGTAACCCTTATTTAAAAAAAAAAAAAAACAGCAAATGTAGCATATAAGATACATAATGTTGGAGCATGTATAGAACAGTGGTGCCAAAAAGGTAAATCACCAGATGTTTTAAAAACTACATCTTCAGTGATGCTTTCTCATTCTAAGGTATTCTAAAGGTATGCAAAGCTTTTTGGGAGTTGTGGTTGTACAACATCTGGGGATCTACCTATTGGGCATCCCTGTATTAGAGGAAAATAATTCCATCTTGGGGTTCTGGAGATAATCAGCCTTGTAGTTTGTTAGGATGTCTGTTAGGATGTTCCTTAATATGGGTTTCAGATATATATATATTTCAAATAACACAAACAGGAAAACTTGCATTAGTAAACAGGCACTTCTCCTGTATAGCTCCTTTTAATGTTCACCTGCTCCAATTCAGTATTGATGTTCCGCTCCAACTGGAATAATTAGGTCACTGTAATACTTAACCCCTTAAGGAACAAACTTCTGGAATAAAAGGGAATCATGACATGTCAGACATGTCATGTGTCCTTAAGGGGTTAAAATAGTAATATAACAACCTACAGTAAAAGAAGTAAAAGAATAAGTGCACTATATCAGCATTATCTAAGCATTCTGTGCGATATGCGCACTTTATCAAGATCGAACTTGTTTTACTTTGGGTATATATATGTTACTAACAAATGGTTCTTTCTGCCAAAACTAAGGTATCAATAGTGCAGACAACGTAGATGAAAAGACCTGGATCCTTTGCTAAATAATATGCAATGTTTTGTTCTATTTCCCTAGAGTCAGAGCTATTAAACTTTCATAAATAGGCATAACTCTTCATTTCACTATCCTATTGCATGAGCATTTTATCTGTCCCGTCACTTGAATATAATTTCACAGATGTTTTTTCTCTTTCTTTTAAAATAGAGTTGCCATTTACCATGGTCTTCAATTTCTCGATAAATCATATTTTAAATTGTGCCATTGAAATTATTCATTTTTTTAGCGCTTTAGAAATAGTAGATAACACATTTGCTTGCTATTTTTTCTAGAATATGTTTAAAGAAAAGTGCTTTGAGAATGAGATTATATGAAATGTAAATCAATATGTACATTTAGGTTGGATTTAATCTGTGCTATTCATTTCTATTGGTTTTATTTTAGACCTTCCGATTAATTTTGCTAGCAATGGGACAATGTGAGTGAATGGTTGTATGGCCTCAAAAGTAAAATATAGCTATAGTGTATAATGGCAGTCGCAACAGTGCAATGATCAAATGCCACAGGTTCAGGCATTGTAGAGATGTTCATACCAGACCCCTAAGAATCAGTAGTTAAAAAGGAAATCATATATTTTTATATTAAGCTGGAGGTTGCTGTACTAGAAACCTCCAGCTTAATATAAAAATATATGATTTCCTTTTTAACTACTGATTCTTATGGTCATCATGGGGTGATAGGGAACTGGCGAATGTGATAGGACTTTAGATTAACCACAGAAGTCTTCATTGCAGTAAAAATTAAGGATGCCATATAATGCCATAATGTCTCAGCAACCTCAGTCTAATCCCTATTAATGATGTTAGCATTTTTAATGTATTACTTTATGTGAATGATATATTAAAAGGGAATACCCCCTCAAAGAAACAATATAGACAGTCTCAGAGTATTGATAAGCATACTATTTATAAAATGATAAATCTCGCATCAATACACGCATGCTATGTGTAAAGTGAGTGCCTGTGGTCTTGGACTTTCTCAGAAGTAATTTTACCATTCCCAACTTTTTTTAGAGCAGCAAACAATGAGTGAGTGATTGGGTGCGGGAACACCTCAACATCTGTTCTGGAAATAGCTTTGTTTAATTAATTTATTTACATAGACAAACAATCACAGTAATTTTCACTGATCAGCCACACCATTAAAACCAATGACAGGTGAAGTGAATAATATTGATTATATCATTACAATAACAGCCGTCATGGGGTGTAATATATTCAGCAGCAAGTGAACAGGTCTTAAATGGCAAGTGTTGGAAGCAGGAATAATGGGCAAGCGTAAAGATCTGAGTGCACTTGTCAAAGTCATTCAGATCTTTCTGCTAGCCTATTTTTAATGCTTCCAACATTTGAAATTCAAGAACTGACTGTTCGCTTGCTGCCTAATTGTTATTTCATACATTTGGGAAAAAATATCCAAAGCACTCGGTACAAGTGGTCATAGATGACGTATCTGATGTTATAATTCCTTTCAAAACGAGAAGACGTAACATCTAGCGGGAAACTGAGAAACTATATCAATCAACTTTTTCCTCTTTTGTTTGTTGGTTTTTTTACGGACTTATTTTCTCTGTAAAATCTCTACTTTCTGAGGTTGAAGTCTATAGGTGCTTAAAGAAACACTCCACTACAAAAATGGAAGGGGTGGAAAAATGAGTACTCTGCAGATATACCTTCACTGAAAACATGCAGAATTTTTGCTGCTTGTTGGCATTTGGGGCATATCTAAAAAGACCTCACAAAAGTTCAAATGGCTTCAGCCTTTGCAAGCCCTCCCCACCTGAAAGTCTCCTGTAGGAAAAATAACAAATCAGAGGCTTCTCATTGAAAATCCTCGGAATCTTTCCTGCTGTGCGCATGCATTGCAATAGTGTTCAGGAAAAACGCTGGTCTGATGTGAAGTCTCTGAGAAAGAATGAGGAGAAAGCCAACATGCTCAACCTCTGTTATCTTAGAGGGAGCTAACAATAGTATAAACAAAAATCTCCCTGGCTGTCAGAATGGAACCAAGGAGAAGTTTTCTAATTTAACTGTAAAAGTCCCAATTTATCATGGAAATCAGCACATTTATAAACCGGAATTAAAATAGGATACTCCTCACACATAAAGCACTTCAGAAGCTGAACTGTATGGATGTGGAGTTTCCCTTTAAGATCTCTTAATACTATCATAGTTATATAGGTATAAGTTACTCAGTGTTAGCATTTGAACTGATTCATTACAATTCTGCATTCTGTGGTTTTTTTTGGTTTTTTTTCCTGCTGTGTCTTCAGTAAATGAGTCTTTTATATCATAAACACACAACACTACAGATTCCTATTATAGATGCCCTATAGGTTTTAGGACACGGCCATTGCCTTCCTCGTGGTGTTTAGAGCAGTGTACTGTCAGTCAGTAAGTGGATTTATGAAAAATCTTCTGTTTTAATCATTGCTGAATAGTTATTTTCTTTAACTATAGCATCAGAGTACACATATATAATACAGAGAACGTTAACGTTTGTGGTTTTTATGAACAGGTGAAAACAATGTATTTTTAGCCATTTTTTCTTCCAGCTGCCTTTCTCACAGCATTATCTGATACAAGAGGGAGGAGACTCCTATGGGGAGCTGTCATGATTAGAAACAAATATCTCATTATGTTTGACAGATTTCTCTGCATCCTGAAAACAGGTGGAAATTCCCCATCTACCAGCAACATGCAGAGGTTTCTATTAATTCATTCTCCCTAGTACTACTAGATCTTTTGGGTTGACTTTGTCAATGAAGATTTAGGAAGCGGGTAGGCGACTATCTTCAATCCTGGAGATATGCCCTGCGCAGCTGCAACTTCAAAAGCATGGCTTTGATGCTGGTGGTCTCTGCCTGTCCTAAACCTTGATGTTGGTGATTTAGTCAGTGCAATGGATGTTAAGGATTGTGCGGAGATGGTGAAAGCACTCAAGGAGTCGCAGGTGATGGTAATAGGTAACTCACGACTCAAAATTGTACAGGAGAGTGGTCAGTAAGACAGCTCTGTACATACTGATATTTATGCATCTCTATAGAGGTTTGTTTTTTCAGACTCTCTTATACAGTCTGCCGAATACTCTGTTTGATTTGGACAGTCTGCATCTATCTCTTTGTCGATCTTGGCATCTGAAGAGGTGATGCACTAAAGGTAGCTGAACTGCAGGGGTGGTGGTAAACCTCATAAGGGTCAGGCTGGTAGAGGACTTCTGTCTTCTTCAGACTGACTTCTGATCCAAAGTGCTCAGCAGCCTCTGCGAAACTGGACTTTATTTGCTGCAGGGCTGTCACTATGTGTGATACAACTAAATCTATAGTTCAATAAAAGAGATCTACATCACATAAATCCTGTAGAAAGTATTCCATTGCTTGTAGATGCACAACTCCTATGATCATTGCCATTATTTATCTATCCGTGATACTTAATTTCCCCATTTAGAAACATAGAATGTGATGGCAGATAAGAACCATTCGGCCCATCTATTCAGCCCAATTTTAGAAATACTTTTAATTAGTCCTTGGCATTATCTTAAGTCTAGGATAGCCTTATGCCTATCCCACGGGTGCTTAAATTCCCTCTCTGTGTTAACCTCTACCACTTCAGCTGGAAGGGCTCTTTACCTGGCCTGGCAGATACAGCCTATCTTAGAGCCCTGATTCTTGCCACTCAGTGGCACTAGAACACCTATGATTAAGCCAGAGAAAGACCCGAGGGCCAAAGCCAACTGCCTGTAACTCTGGCTTGGATCGGAAGTGAGCCATGGTCCAACAAACCTTCAACCAAGTGGTGTTCGGACACAGTATGTGCCATCAGGGCACTTTTTGGATTGAAGGTACCCGAGGGGGTGAGCTATCCTCAGGTACCTAATATGTATCCATGCTTCAGGAAGGGTGGGGGGTTGGGGGTCTTGGCTCCTAGCGCCCTGTCTAAAGAGGACTCAGACTCAGGACTTGCATGTTATCAGCGCTGGGAAGAGAACTTATTCATCACTCCCTGGAGGGTGAATATACATTCTGTGCTGTGTAATTATATAATTAATTATCTTGAAATCTGGAATTTGATCAAATAAACCTGTACAGGGACATGCAGGTAGCCCTAAAGCATTAGGGAACTAAAGTGTAATTTTAATGTTTCAGTAATGCCCTAAAAATAAAAGGCTTATACATAAAAGAAACAGTGATAGAAATATGTGTGTGTAAAGGTTCTGAGATTTTCCTGTTATACTTTCACTGGTGGAAATAGCTCTCCCCAAATATAGCAGAGAAAGTACATATGGAGATATTCTAGAATTGAATGGTAAATAATCCCAGGTGAGCAATTTGCAATTCAAGCAATATTGAATCAAAGTGGTGTGAGAATCAACTTATGGCAGACCATATCTCCAGTAAAACACAGATTTCACAGAGCAATATAGGCTAAAATGTGTTTAATAACTTTGTACATACATTTGAACTTTTCTTTATGGAATTTTTATATTAAAATCAATTACACAGTTAATTAAAAGAACATACGTAATGTCGTAATGTTTTTTTATTGTATGTCTTGCTTAAAACATGATGGAGCACACTGGCTTAGTTTAAGAAATGCTAAATGCATTACTCTGTATTTTTTTCTCCAAAAATTTCCATGAACTTGAATTTGATGCATTAGAATCCACATCATGTAAGTCTAGTCTTCCCTAATTATTGCCGTAGATTCTAACTTCTTACTAGAATTAGCGCAATCTGAAATGATTGGTTATCATAGAAAACACTTGATAGATCTAACCAAACTGTAATGAGAGGACCTAGCCCCACTACATCCACATACATAACCTTGGTGAACAGATGTAATGTAAAAAAAACACACTTTGATCTGTAGTAGGGGAAATGAGCAAGAATCGTAAAATGCATACTTTTAAAAGAAAAATAACTTTTTTTATAGTACATATTTCACAGTTTCATTTATATTTCAAATAAAATTTATGTAGTAAAATAACATTTTGTTTTCATTATGTGTAGCAGAAGAGTTCCGATATCTACAAAATTCCAGCTTCTCTCTTGAAGAGGTATTACAATGAAGATTCCTATGATGGCTTTGTTGGGCTCATGGGCAGAAGGAATTCTGGTATGAGAGTTGTAAAAAAAAAAAAAAAAGTTTGTGTGTTTGGTAAAATGGAACAATATAACAAAATTTTCTTTTTCTTAGCTATTCTGTTTAATTTCCTGATTCAAAATGTACTGTTTTGTTCATTGCTCCATTTTCTTTGTTTCATATAACTCCTTTTCATCTTTTGTAATAATATATATGTATATGATGCAAAGGAGACCCATATGTGTTTATTATACATGCATTCACCCTTTGGAGGTCTATACGATACACCAAGCTCAACACAGTATACGCATGTTTACACTTGGAATGTGTAGCACAATGCACGATCCCTTTGATATCAGTATTTGCTTTTGAAATATTAATCTTTTCCATGAGATCTATTGGTGAGGTAAATTCAGGAAGAATGTAATATCCATTATAATGGAATCGAATAAATCCACTTAAATCAGTGTGGATGAGACAGGAGACGGTTAAAATAATAATTTTAAAGAAACAGTCCAAGCACCATAACCTTAGTAGGACATTGAAATGGTTCTACTGCCAGGAGTTTCTTGGTGCCCCCCTTATACTACTGAAGTCAAACCACTTTAAAAGTCTTACCTCTGTTCCAAGGGGCACTGTTATATGCCTCCACTACTTTCGACAGAGAGCCAGAAGTAGCTGCCTGTATGAGCTAAGCTCGACAGTGGCCGATTCAGCTTAGGAGGGCTAGTGGAAGTTCCTTAGCAAGAGCTTCCAGTATACTGTCATTCATTTTCAAGAAAGCTTTTCCTCAGCCCTATTAATACATAGCTACATAGCTGAAATGAGACTTGCGCCCATCAAGTTCAACCTTTTCACATGTTTTAGCTGTTGATCCAAAAGAAGGCAAAAAACCCAGACTGAAAGCACTTCCAATTTTGCAAAAAACTAGGAAAAAATTCCTTCTTGACTTCAAATGGCAGTCAGATATCTCCTTGGATCAAGAAGCTATTACCCCACTAATTAGAAATTATATCCCTGTATGTTATTACATTTTATACACTCCTGTTAGTCAGTGATCCTGTTAACAGAAGTAGACTGCATTAAAGCAGCACTATCAACCCGAACAATTTGTATTTCATAAAGAAAATAGTAATTTTGACGGTGTTGGAATTTCACTGAAATTTCAACCCCGTCAAGAGATAAAGAGACAACTTAGGGGCTACTTTGTCTCGTTATTTGTCCTCAGTCTGACTTTCTTAGACTCAGGGTAGAGCTACAGAGTCAATCTCGACAGCTGTCACCAGTGATGGCTGCAGAGAATTGGCTCTGTCTATGGAGGATCCCCGCAGTCTCCCAGAATCATTCATAGACCTCAATGCTGTACTCTTGCAAAGTCCCCAGACAGTGACAGTGCCACTTTAACTTAAGAAGGTTAAGTTGGCCTCCTCCTGTCTCCAATTCCATGTAGTCTCCATGCCCTAATGATTTTAGACTGCTAAAAGGCAAATTGTGATGCAGCAAAATATTAGTAACTTGTTCTTAATTGTTTGTACAATCAGTAACTATGTATTTAATATAAATCATATATTTTGTGCAATTCTGGATTGGTTTTCTTTTATTAAATCCCCTTGTAAGATTTATAAGCACAAAGAGCCTTTGCAATAATTCCCATGACCAATAATTTACATTTGCTATTAATATATTGTATTATTGTTTATTTATAAGGTACTGAAGGGATAGTGGTAAAGTGCAATGGGGCATACGAAAGGAAAACAAGTAACATTTATACATAATAGATAGTGTTGTGCAATGAACACACACAGGCAGAAAGATAGCAGTCAGATGTAAGCCATGGGCTAACTGCAGGCACAGCAGGTGAGCCAGCACTAAAGCTTTTTGAAGACAGAACATGTTGCTTAAATACTTAGTAATCATAATGCTATATGCCACCAATTTAAATCCTTATTTACAATTGATATCCTGAAGTTTTGTTGTTGTTTTTTTTTTTTTTTTTACTCACTTATAGATTCTAAGGAATATGCATCTGAACCTTTTAAGCGTAAGTAATTGTGTTTATTCATTCCCGATTTATCATTCTACTCTAATTTTAAAGGCACAACCAAGTATATATTTAGACAAAAACAATTACATTACCTTAAATAATAATACAAAAATGTTTAACAGCGGAATATAGTTAGTGAATACAAAAAAATGTATACTGATTTATGCTCTTAAATTTCAAGAGAAACATCAACAAAAATAATTTAGGGTTTTGAATGTTTCAGATTTGCAAAGGGGTCAAAAGGGGACATCAAACATTTCTAATGTCATGCCATATATACTCTGTCATGCCATATATTAAAGGGAACCTGTAGCCTCTTACCTTGACATCCGCTCCCCTGCCGTGATCACTGATTTGCCCTGCTTGGGGACACCTACCCAAGCAGGGCAGACCTCCTTAGTGACTACGTTACTCTGGCTTCTGAACGGAGTGACTCCTTTATGTTCTGGATCATAGTCCTGCTGGAAGATTCAGCCATGGACAATTTTAAGCTTTCTGGCAGAGGCAGTCAGGTGTTCATTTAATATCTGTTGATATGTGATAGAGTCCATGCATCCTAACAAAATGTCCAGGTCCACTGGCAGAAAAAACCCCACAGGTTTATCTAACATAAAAAAAGTATTACAATGGATAGATCTTCCAGCAGAACAATGAACCAAAACACATATCAAAATCAACACAAAAATGGTTTGCAGACCACAATATCAAGGTCCTGCCATAGCCATCACAGTGCCCTGACTTGAACCCCATAGGAAATCTGTGGGGTAAAGTGACGAGGAGAATTCACCTGAATCTGGAGAGATTCTGTATGGAGGAATGCTCTCAGATACTTTGCCATGTATTCTCCAGAAGACTCAGAGCCGTTATCTTAGCAAAGGAAGGCAGCACAAAGAATTGACTTAAATAGTGCCAATAATTGTGCCACACATATTTAACAAATATATATATATATATATATATATATATTGAGATAAGTCAATGTTGTGTTTGCAATTGTTTGATTTCCAGGAGCACAGAGGATCTTTTTAATAAAATATCAAAATGTTAAACAAGAAAGACAACTTTTCACAGCCTTCTTTGCTCATATTTAAACACAGAATGTGTTTAAATATGAGCAAAGAAGGCCTTTTTTTTAATGGTTCTTAACTTCTGGATTGGATCGAATACTGGCTCCACATGCTACTTTCAGTTGGCACCCACATATTTGTCAGGCCAAAGATGACAAATGATTTACTATAGTGGATTTGACTTTCCCAAGGCATTAGAAACCACACTGACATGGGTTTTTCTGCCCACCACTTGGTTGTTTGCAGACATCTTCATAGTAAACATCTTCGGTACAACCACTTTGTCTAGTTTGTTACATGCTTCTAACTTTGTATTGGATAGTCAAGATGTTTGTTTGTATGTATATGTGTATATATATATATATATATATATATATATATATATATATATATATAAAATTGTATGTACCTTCCATGGTTTTTCTATTTTTGTCTTTTATTACAACCAAAATAAAGATTTTTTCATTTTTTTTTTAAATCAATGGACACTGGAAAGATCCCAATAAATGTGTTTAAGAGATTTTGTTTCTAGTTCAAATGGGCCATTGATTTAATTTTACAACTGAAGAATTGGACGCTGAATTAATGGCATCTACATAATTTGGGACCCAAAAATAAAATGGTTAAAAGTAATACAATAGTAGTGTAATACAAACTTTACTGCACTTCCTTAAGAATAATATGAATAACATGCTCAATCCTTCGATACTCTCATTTAACGTGTACATTAAGGATGTCAAACTCATGGCCCAGCCGATACATTGCAGCCCATTGACATTGCAGCCCAACTAATCTGGAATGTGCAAAAATCACTTGTCAGACTCTGACAAGTGATTTTTGCGCTCGCCTCGGCCTGTGTTTCCTCCACCCACAGGCAGCATGCTGCTCCATAAGTAAACCGCACGCACAGTACACTGGGAGGGGAAGCGCCACCCCCTCCCGTTTTGCGTAGGAGCGCCAGGTGTCACGTGACTACCCACTCTCCTGCTATGTCAGATGAGAAACAGCAGGGAGGGGGGCCATCTATTAATAGTGCAGAGCAGAGCCAGCGCTTCCAACACCTCGGGCGCCGGCTCTGTGAGAAAAACAGCTGCCTGCCAGGTATGAATGGAAGGGGTAGGAGGGAGACATGGGTGAGAGAGACAGGAATGGAAGGGGGTAGGGAGATTTCAATTAGAATTGAAGGGTTAGGGAGGGAGATTTGGAAGAGGGGAGAGGTGTGGAAGGAGAGATATGGAAGGAGGGAGAGATGTGGTGGGAGAGACATGGAAAAGGGGGGGAGATATGGAAGCGGGGGAGAGATTTGGAAGGGAGGGAGAGATGTGGCGGAGAGATATGGAAGGGGGGAGAGATTTGGAAGGGAGAGATGTGGGGGAGAGATATGGAAAGGAGGGAAACATGGATGGAAGGTGGGAGAGAGACATAGAGGGAGAGACGTGGAGGGAAACAGACCTAGATGGAAGGGGGAAGAGAGACATGGAAGGGAGGGGAACAGAGACATGGATGGAAAGAGGTAGAAGCAAGCGGAGTGGAGTGTGCAGCCACACATTACTCTGCCTTGAGATTGCAGAAGGACTGAGGGAGTGAGCAGAGCAGACAGTGTGGCTACCTACCTGGCTGAGACAGCAGTTTGCAGAGGGACTGAGGGAGCGAGTGAAGCGGACACTTCAGACAGTGGCATTACTACTGAGATAGTAAATAACTCGAGGTGAAGCTTTTGAGTGAAATATATATATGTACCCAGAATTACATATTGTTTGCATGAGAATGATACAAGTAATTTATTTGGCCTGCGTTAGCCTCTGATTTTGACATGCTTGGTGTGCATCATTAAAATGACCCACTACAAAATATTTGCATTTATCGCCATACACTGTAACACCTTGTTTAATCAATAAATGAGCAACCTATTTCAATTAAATTTACATAACTGATAAGCACATTAGACTGCTGTAAACTGTAGAATAGTTACATAAATGTCTACAATTTCACAGCTTTGATATTATATGGCTGAAAAGAAGACTTCAGTAAACAATGTTTGGATGAATTGATACATAGCCCCATAAATATGTTTTAAATAAATGGTAATTAAAGTGCATCTGTCACCTTAACGTTCTCCTTTTGTTTCTTCCTCTCTTCCTGTTTCAGAATTAGTTTTTCTTTTCTTCATTTCTGGAGGTTAAGGCAAGCTCAACTTCTTTTGTCAAGTTTGTCAAGTGTAGGAAAAATATATAAGAATAAATAGTCCCTACTTTGTCTTATATTTTAAAGAGAAATAGACCAGAAATTAAGAAAAGAAAAACAGTTTCTGAAAGAGGGAAAGAAGAGGAAACAATCTGAGAAAGGAACGTTTGAGGTGACAATACCACTTTAAGGCCAAAGGGTAACTTTCCAAAAATATATTTATTAGCGACTGACAATTAAAAAAATGCATGTGATATTAAATGATATGTAACCAATACTATTCATGTTTTACAGGAGATATGCACGATTTCTTTGTTGGTTTAATGGGGAAGAGAAATTTGGGTAAGTATTAATTTTAGCTCTTATTCTCAATGATATGTATCACAGCAGTGATTGTCTACTAAACTGAACAAATTACAGTAAATTGAGAAGCAATTTTTAGGATAAGCTAGCTGCCTTGGAACAATCATCCAGTTCAGCCAAGAAGGAGGACACATAATGGGGAATCATGTTTTAAAGGAACACTCTAGGGTCAGGAACACATACATGTATTTCTGATCCTATAGTGTTAAAACCACCATCTAGTCCTCCTGATGCCCTTGCTAAATATAGTAAAATATAATAAAATCTTACTTTTATTCATTCTGCAGTTTCTGTCTGTGCCCCTGATCTGTCTGTGTTGTTCCTGTTGTGAGTCAATCACAATGCTTTCCCTTAGGATTGGCTGCGACTGTCAAGAAGGCAGATCAGGAGCAGAGCCAGCACAAGCCAAACACAGCCCTGGCCAATCAGCATCTCCTCATAGAGGTATATTAAATCAATGCATCTCTATGAGGAAAGTTCAGTGTCTCCATGCAGAGGGAGGAGACTCTGAATGGCAGTGCTGCACACTGTGCAGCACTGCTGCAGGAAGCACCTCGAGTAGACATATGAGCAGTGGCCAGTGGAGTTATCACTCGGCTGTAATGTAAACACTGTGTTTTCTCTAAAAAAAACATATCTGAAAATGTTAAGTGACTTACTAATAACAATTTTTTCAACTAGAATGTAATTTAGAAAAAGAACGATGATTTACAGTCTGATTTCTTAACACATTTATTGTAATCTAAAGACACATTACTGTGAGTAATATTGATGAGAAGTTCTGTTATACACTCAGACATATCAATATTTAGCTCCTAGAAAAGAGGGACAAATGGATTTGGGTCCAAAATGAGGACTGTCCCTTTTACACAGGGACACTTAGGCAATCAGTTGTTAAACTTAGATCTAGGAGTTGAATGAGGCAGACATTATCATTTCCTAGTATGTGTCTCTAATATGCTAGCAATAATGCTGACACCCCTTGGTGACTGCTAATTAGTTGTTTGTGAAAGGTAAAAGAATTAATTGTTTAGGGCAACAATCAGTGCCGGTGCTAGGATTTTTAGTTACACAGGCGAACATGCATTTTGGTGCCCCTCAACCTCCTTTAAAAAAAAAAAATGCATCTTCACCTGTGTGTATTTCCTCCCAAGCCACAGGCATAATTTTTCAGTCACACAGTCAAAGTCATACAGGTACACTGTCATACAAACACAGAAATAATCATACAGAGACATTTAGACACATACAGTCAGTCAGAGACATACAGACATACAGGCAAAGACATACATGCATACAGAGACATGAAGGCATATAAAAACATGCATACATACAGAGGCATACCGTCATACAGACACATACATACATACAGAAACATACATACAAAGACATCCAGGCACATACATACATACAGGCATACATAAACATACAGGCATACAAAGACATACTGCCATACAGACACATACATATATACAGGCATACAGAGACATACAGGCATACAGAAACATACATACAAAGACATACAGGCATGCATACATACAGAGACACACAGGCATACAGAAACATACATACAAGACATACAGGCATACAGACACATACAAACATTCATACATAGAGAGGCAAACCGTCATACAGACATACATACATAAACATACATACAAAGACATACAGGCATACAGAGACACACAGACACATACGTACATACAGAGACATAAAGGCATACAGTTACACACATGCATACAGAGACATATATACAGACATTCAGAGACAAACAAACATTTAGTTACATACATGCATGCATACAGATACATGCATGCATACAGATACATACATGCATACAGAGACATACATACATAGAGATAGATACATACATAGAGATAGATACATACATACATACAGAGACATACATACACAGACATACATACACAGACATACATACACACACACATACAGAGACATACATACATAGACATACATACACACACACATACAGAGACATACATACAGAGACAGACATACATACATACAGATACATACATGCATGCATACAGAGACATACATACATAGAGATAGATACATACATACATACATACATACATACACAGACATACATACACAGACATACATACACAGACATACAGACATACACACATACATATATAGACAGACATACATACATACAGATACATGCATGCATACATACAGAGACATACATACAGAGACATACATACAGAGACATACATACATACAGAGACATACATACAGAGACATACAGAGACAAACATGCATACAAACAGAGACATACACACATACAGAGACATACATACAGAGACATACATACATACATACATACAGAGACATACAGACATAAATACAGAGACATACATACATACAGACATACATACATACAGAGACATACAGACATAAATACAGAGACATACATACATACAGACATACATACATACAGACACATACATACAGAGACATACACAGACATACATACATACATACAGAGACATACATACATACATACATACATAGAGACATACATAGAGACATACATACAGAGACATACATACAAAGACATACACAGACATACATACATACATACAGAGACATACATACATACATACAGAGACATACAGACATAAATACAGAGACATACATACATACATACAGAGACATACATAGAGACATACATAGAGACATACATAGAGACATACATACATACATACTGAGACATACAGAGACATACATACAGACAGAGACATACATACATACATACAGAGACATACAGACATAAATACAGAGACATACATACATACATACATAGAGACATACATACATACATACAGAGACATACATAGAGACATACATAGAGACATACATACAGAGACATACATACAGAGACATACATACATACATACAGAGACATACAGAGACATACATACAGACATCATACAGACATCATACAGAGACATACAGAGACATACAGACATCATACAGAGACATACATACAGAGACATACAGAGACATACATACATACATACAGAGACATACAGACAGACATACATACTGACAGAGACATACAGACATCATACAGAGACATACAGACATCATACAGAGACATACATACAGAGACATACAGACATACATACATACTGAGACATACAGAGACATACATACAGACAGAGACATACATACATACATACATACAGAGACATACAGACAGACATACATACATACAGAGACATACAGACATCATACAGAGACATACATAATTACATACTTACATCTGTTAAATCTTGTCCCCTGGGTGCATGCTGTCCGGCTCTGTGGAGTCCAGTCCTGCAACCCAGCCCCATCACAGGGCGCCAGCCGCGCTGTGTGGGACACAGGGAGCAGGGATATGATGTCATTCATATCCCCGCCCCCTCCACACAGCCTGCGGCAGACACCAGGATAGGAGGTGGGCGGGCCGAGGCTGAGCTCCGCGGGCGGGAATCTCTGGGCTGCGCTCGGCCACTCTACAAGTAGTAACCAGCTGGAGGGGAGCCAGGTGCGCTTCCCTCCTTACTGTCTGCCTGATGTCGCGCCCCCAGGGCTGGTGCGCCCTAAGGCGGCCGCCTGGGCCGCCTTATGGTAGCGCCGGCCCTGGCAACAATCACACTGTATCTACAGCTTAAAGGAACACGTTAGTGTTCGAAAGACAAAGATGTATTCCTAACACTAAAACATCCCTCTGCTTCCTCCCTTCCCCCCCCCCATCCATGAAAGGGTTAAAAACCCTTTCATTCACTTACCTGATTACAGTGCCGAGACCCCTGATCAGTTAATGGGGGGTATCTAAAGAACATGCATGGCGAGCTTCACTTTGAGGTTTTGCTTGATGCTGGATGTACTAATGCAACATCCTGAAATGGCAGGAAGCGTCTCTCGTGGCTGTCTGGTATAGGCAGTCTTAACTCTGCAATGTAAGCTTTGCAGTTTCTTAAATATATAGGGGTATATAGGGATGCAAAGCCTTTCTTGGTTTTATATTAAAGTGACAGTAGGCACCATAACAGCTTTATTGATATTGTTATAATGTCTGAACTCCCCTGGCACCATGCTTCCATTTATTAAGCCAGTCCCTTCTGTGCTGTTTGGGCTAATGATACAGCATTAGCCTGAACTGCAATGGACGGCTGTGACTGACTAAAAGTGTCAGCTGGCCACATTCAGCCTTTCAGGTGTGAATTGGTATGGAGACAAGGAAGTGTGTAATCTCAGTCTTTGCCACAGTCCAGTGGGGGTGGGCCTATGTGAAGCCATGGACCCTTATACAGTGAAAATGGTTTAACACAGAATGGAGGGACACTGCCAGGGACTTCAGGCAGTATAACCAATTCAGTTAGATACAATCACATATCTTACTTATATATGATGTTAAAAGTCTACTGCCACTGCTCTGGAATTTATGTCATTGACTAAAACACTGAAAACCACCTAACTTGTGTTATTTTTATATGTGATGCTCAATATTCTTTTACATTTATATAAAATTTTAAGTAGATTACACCACAAGCCACTTCGGTCACGGCACAGCTATGGCAAATAATGCAAATGAAGAGGAGAAAGAGAAACATTGTTTCATTTGTTTTTACGCAATATTTTACTCTATGCTGCCAGAAGTAAACGACAGAGTTTATAACAAAGATCAACAAATAGCTAAGATGGAGGCACCTAATTACAGGGCAAACCAGTGTGGATTTCTATATTTAATTGTACCTTTACACCTTACAAATACTTAGTTGTAAAATTTAGGGGATAAGTAAATGTAATGTAAAAAAAATCATTGGAATTAACAATGCCCCTTCAAAGACTACTTCATATATCTGTTAATCACCTAATGGACTTTTATTTTTCCTAGGCAGTCCCACAAATGAAGAAAATGATGCACAGCCCGAGTCTAGATACTCAACAAAATGTAGAATGAAGTGAGTAGAGTCATACATTTCAGTAAAACCATCAGTTCTATTTATCTTGGACACAGGTTTCTGTATCCCTTTATAAGCAGTCAGTAAAAAGAGATGTTTTTGCATTCATTCTAGGTACATACAGAAATATATAATAGTGGGTGTATACGTATAAAGAATTATTACTACATTAAATGGCACTTGACAGATGAATCAAAATGGTTTAGTTTCTTATATTGGTTTACAATCCAGGTGGTATTTTATTAGCAAACCATTGAAAAAATGAAAATAGAGATAATTTTACACATAAATGACAGCAAAACATGGTGTTTTTTGAAAGAATATATTATACTATTGCAACTTTTTAGTATTTTATTTTAGCTTTAGAATTTTACATTTGAGTGACTCTAGCGAGAACTGTTTGTGTTTTAGTATTCTTTTATTAGGGAAAGGGTAGCTTGACACCCAAGGTCCTATAGGTAATAGTACTACTACACTAGGCATCCCATCCTCCACCGTTATCAGGACTCTCCGTCCCAAAGGCTAGGAGGTGTAGGAATGGATAGGTAACATTTGTCGGATTTCTTCCTGGTATTGAATATCCTCCAACACATCACATTCAGGGCAAGGGAGGGATTAAGTGCTGTTGTCTGCCGTAGCATGGAAAGGTTAATCAGTCACGATATCAGCAACCATTAACCACTTACAACAAGAAACTAAGACCCTAACCCTTTCTCTAATGACTGCACTGCCATGTTCTCTGTAGTAAGGAAGTTAACACTTTAGTAGACCTTCTAATATCATTGAATGTCCACTAGAACATTCATTAAAAACTGTATAGATATTTAAGTTAGACTTGGTATTCAAGGTTAGAGTGCTAACTGATATTATCTCTGTTTTGTGCAGGTTCAGACGTTCGGTTTAGAAGATAACTGTCATTTGAACCCAAGCATTATCCAATGGTTTGATGCTAAGCACCCTGGATATCTTCTTTTCTACCACAGATTCAATTCCCACTTGTGTTGCCATATTTTACACTATCCTCACCCACTTGTGTCCAGCTATGTGTACATTTTTCTCATTTGTTACCACATATGTACAAAAATAAGGGCAACAGAAGTGGATAATAAGTTCAATGAATTTTCTATGTTACAGCTATACATCTTCTACCTTGGTTTCTCTATATAGTCCCCTTTCCACTCACTTGTGTATTTTTTTTATTGCTTTCTGATCATTTATGATGCTCCAATGCCATCCCTTCCTATCATGCATTTTTAATGCTACAACATTATTGTTGGTCTCATTTCTTTTTGTGTACAGACAACTAAATTGAAACCAACAATTAGATAGTGATCCCTCTCTGTTTTAATTAGATTATAGTCAGTTAGCTTTCATTTAACAGCAAAACAGTTGCTAAAATGTGGCCTAGATTAATGAGTACAAATGCTATGGTGGATAATATTTCAAAGTTGACAGGAGAAGAAATGTTTTTTGCTTCAACTATTGACTGATATAAAAATGAATTCTAAGACTTTCCTTTACCACCATAATGCTTTGCCTGTGTGCTTACCACTATATTAGCCCTGCTTAAATTACATGATGTAACTTAAAGATATGATGATAAAGATCACATTAAAAAATAATAATAATATTTTTACATATGACCTTGTGTTTTGTCTTTTCTTTTATTCGAATTCCATAATAATAATAAATAGGGTTTACCAATAGATGACAATATCTTTCTCCCCTAATTCTTTGTAAATAAATATGGGGGTGTGTAAACGTGGACAGTTTAGACTAGATATTGCATCATTCTTCAACCTATACTTTAGTTACTTTAGTATGTAGGTAAAATTTAAATAGTCAAAAGGGTTCATTAAATATATCTGGTCTCAATATTATTATTTTAAAGATGTCTGCATTTATCTTTTTTATTTTACTTTGAAACATGTAAATATGAAAAGGATTTACATTATTATATGTACTGGGATAAAGGAAGCAACATACGTGCAGCACACGCCATTACAAACTACTGTAGCCTTCATGTTTATTAAAGTAAGACCACACACATACGTATGCCCACACACGCGCGCACACACAAACACGCGCACAATATCACTATTTAGTAGATATACTTGTATTTATTTATGCATGTTGTTATCCACAACAAAAGCTGTAGATGTTGTGCCTCATTGAAAAGTCTGCAGTGAGAGAGAGAGAGAGAGAGAGAGAGACAGCCAAAGAAGGCACAGGAGCTCAGGCTCACATAGACTCTTAGGAGAAGGCAGTTGCTCGCTAACAAAATGTGCCTGCCACTTCTGTAAGCTCAGAGGAGCTAAAGGAAAAAGGGAAGAGATCATCCCCAGTTATTGATAGTGGGGAGGTGTTTCTTAATTGGTTTATAAAAATGCATATTTATCAAAGAAATAGGCACTTTTATAAAGTGCCATTAAAATTGGATACTTCTTACCCATAAAGCACTTCCGCAAGTTGAAGTGCTTAATGGGTGTGCAGTGGTCATATAACTTCATGAATGTATATGTCTTGAGTAAGATAATGGAAATGTAATTTAAAAACAAAAATTCTGTTTAACGTAAATGCGGTAAATGGATCACGGAACACACATGATGTCAAATATTACTTGCTTTTAATGAATATAGACAGGATATACTGAAACCTATAAAATCTATGTTGAGAACGGACATAAGCTTAAGGGAACAGTAGCATTTGATATACAAACAGATAACTTGTGATTGGATGACTCGAGACAAGGTGCTACAGCAGTTAAAGAAAATTAATGTAAATAAAGCTCCAGGCCTGACAGTATTCACCCACAAGTACTTAAGGAGCTAAGTGGGGAAATAAGTGAACCTCTGTATTTAATCTTTCAAGATTCTCTTGTTTCAGGTATTGTACTGGAGGATTGTAGGAAGGCAGATGTCGTTCCTATATTTAAAATGGTTCAAAATTCTTGCCTGGAAATTATAGACTTGTGAGCTTAACTTCTGTGACTGGGGATATATTTGAAGGGCTAAGGGATAATATTCATGAATTAATTGGGAAGAACTTTGTTATTAGCAATAATCAGCATGTTTTTATGAAACATAGGTCATGCAAAACTAACCTGATTGCTTTCTACGAAGAAGTAAGTAGAAGTATAGATCAGGGTGTTGCAGTGGATGTGATCTACTTGGATTTTGCCAAGGCATTTGATACGGTTCCTCACAATAGTCTTCAAACTAAAAGAAATTGGTCTAGATGAATATTCTTCTTCTTGGGTAGAACACTGGCTTAAGGATAGAGGATAGAATACAACGAGTTGTCATTAATGGTACATTTTCAAGCTGGACAAAAGTGGCAAGTGGTGTCCCTCAGGGTTCTGTTTTGGGACCGCTTCTATTTAACATATTTATAAATGATCTTGCAATAGGCATTGAAAGCCATGTTTTAGTGTTTGCAGATGACACAAAACTAGTAATACAATGAGCAGGATATTGCTTTGCTGCAGAGGGATTTCGATAGATTGGGGGACTGGGCACTTAAATGGCAGATGAAATTTAATGTAGTGAAATGCAAAGTTATGCACTTCATGGTCAAGAATGCACAAGCAACTTACACACTAAATGGTAGTGAATTAGGGATAACCAAACCCGAGAAGGATTTGGGAATTGTTATAAACAACAAATTAGGCAGCAAAATGCAATGTCAATCTGCAGTTGCTAAGGCCAGTAAGGTGTTGTTATAGGGGTATAAATTCTCTGGATGAAAATATAATTTTGCCTCTTTATAAATTGCTGGTAAGACCACACCTTCGATATGCTGTGCAATTTTTGGCACCTGTTCTAAAAAAAAGGATATCATGACACTAGAAAAAGTGCAGAGACAAGCTCCGAAAATTGATAAAAGGAAGCACTTAGTTACGAAGAAAGGTAAAAAAAATTAAATTATACAAATAAACCATTATCTGGAAATCTATTCATAAACAGGGCTATACATAGGACACAAGGTCATGCATTTAGGCTGGAAGAAAGGAGATTTCATCTAAGGCAAAGGAAAGTTTTTACAGTAAGAACTATAAGGATATGTAATTCTCTGCCTGAAGAGGTGTTTTTTACCAGAGTCCATATAGATGTTTAAACGGCAATTGGATAAATACTTCCAAAAACATAACGTACAGAGATATCATTTCTAATTAGTGGGGTAATAGCTGCTTGAACCAAGCAGATATCTGACTGCCAGTTTGAGGTCAAGAAGGAATTTTTTCCTATTTTGTTGCAAAACTGGAAGCGCTTCAGACTGTTTTTTTTGCCTTCTTTTGGATCAACAGCAAAAACATATGTGAGGAAGGCTGAACTTGATGGACGCAAGTCTCTTTTCAGCTATGTAACTATGTAACATCTCTGGAGGTGTTGTCCACCACCTCCCTCGCAGGGGTTTTAAAGGTAAGTGTTACATACATTACATCCTATAGAACGCTGGTCTCCATACTGCTAGTCTGCTTCTATGGCTCATCATTCTAGATTATCTCAACCAATCCAATGCTTACCCATGGAGAAGCATTGGGAGGCTAATACGCATCCATGCCAAAATGCTGTGCTGTGCCAATCAAATGCTCTCAATGAATGAGTACAACTCGGTTATAGCTGTGGAGGTGCCTCTAATGGCTGTCTTCCTGAGAGGTGGGTGTTAACCCTGCAGTGAAACCATTGGCATTCCTGCAAAAAAGCATTGCTTTCATTTGCAGGGTTAAAAAGACACTATAGGCACCTCCCAGGTCCCTTAACCATGCAAAGGTAGTTTTTAATAAACTGCAGTAATTACCTTTGAGGGGTGACTCCACCTCTAGTGACTGTCTACCAGGCACTATAGTTTCCCTTTAAACACACAGGGACATGGCACTTAGACCACTTCACTGTCTCTTATCCCAATCAAGTCCCAATCAAGTCTCAAATATAGTTCAGCCAATCAGCAGTGTCCCTGCCCTCCAGCACTCCGTGCTTCTTGAATCTGAAATGCAGAAACCGGTTGCTGCCTGGGGGTAGGCTGGAACCAGCGCTAGAGGCAACTTCGGGGTTAAAACATTCAAAAACAGTTTAACCCCTGAAGGTAAGAATGCGCCTTGGGGACTCTTGGCATCACAACAACTTAATTTAGATTAAGTTGTTTTGGTGCCCGGAGTCCAACATTCCAAGCAATATAGCTTTCAACCACAGTGATGTTTTGTGGCTTTTTACAACTATGGTGGTTCTGTTGGAACTCCTGGGAACTTCTTTAGGACAATGATTAATCGTAATCACTAAAATGAAGCTGCAAATGTTTTCACTACAATGGAGTGTATAAAGAAATACTAGTCATAAAACATATAGCTAAACAGGCGACTGAAATATTTTATATATAGAATTACATCTATAACATATATTTAATGGTTAAAGGACAATATAATACTTGATACATACAACATATTTAAGGATCTTTTCTGAATAAATTAATACGATTAGCAGAAACTACAAAATATTTACATGTATTACTTACATTAAAGGGACATTATAGGCACCAAAACAACTTTAGCTTAATGAAGCAGATTTTGGTGTATAAATCATACCTCTGGAGTCTCACTGCTCAATTCACTGCTGTAACGGATCACATGGCACCCCGACTGGGTACCTCCATTGATGGATGCTCCTAGCGCTTCCTGAGGACTCCAAGCACTGCAGCAGACACCATAACCACCGTAGACTCCTCCAGAAAGCAAGGCAGGAACAAGCTCTTACAAGAGCTTAGTAGTGATTTAGCAAGGGATTATGAATAGCATAGCAATCCCTTGTAGCAGATTCCCCCAATAAGAGACGGCACTCCAAATTGAGGGTGAAGTAGAACTGTCTATAACTTTATTTTACTTGGGACTAGCCCATATGGTCATTACATTAACATTGCTGTGAAAACTCAATAAAATCACAAACAGTCAAATCATAGCAGGCAACATATAGTGACCTATTATAACATAATTACATATTTATAAATGGGTGGGGAAGACCATAATTAACACAAAATGTCTCTCCTGCATGCAGAATTAGCGATATGCAAATCTACCCGAATATGCAAAAGTCTTTGATCAAATGGTGTTGCAAACAATGATCATAAAAAAAAATCAGCATTTTTGTAATATTTAGCTGTGAAGAGGGCTCCAGCCACTATAACCACTTCATTGAGATGAAGCAGTTACAGTGCCTACAGTTTCCTCAATTCCCATTTTAATTTGTGAAGATGGTGAATGTTGAGTGATGTTCAATGCACAGGTGGACAGGTGATCATATAAATTATATTTTTAGAGTTGCAGGTTAAAAAAGATTTGATATCATACGATCTGTTACTAAATTTGATTCTTTGTTTTCTTTTTTTAATAAAAGATCGTCCATGTGGATATCAATATATAGGTAGAACATCTAGACCACTAAAAATAAGAATTAGAGAACATATTTATAATATTAATAGAAAATATATTCTACATAATGTGTCTAAACACTTTTTAGAAGTACATGGGGGTAACATACAAGGCTTTGACTTTATGGGTATAGAAGGGGTCAAAACACATTGGAGGGGAGGAGACATAGAAAATCTCCTGAACA